TAATAAAAAGGAGTTATGGTGAATTGGTGGCCTAATTTTTTATATTAATTTTCCTTTTCGATTGACCTCCTATGATTTTATTATTTTAAAATTTTGATGGTCTTCTCCTTTACTCGAAACCTTGTACATTCTTCTCTTTAGTTATAACCTTGTAAGTTATTCTCTTTAAATCGAAAATCTTGGACGTTTTTCTCTTCACCTCATAACCATGCATATTCCAACTCCTCACTTCAAACGTCCACAAATTAGGCAAGAATCCAGGGTAACCATGTGTATTCCAACTCCTCGCTTCAAAGGTCCACAAATTAGGCAAGAATCCAGGCTAACCATGTGTGTTCCAACTCCTCGCTTCAAAAGTCTACAGATTAGGCATGAATTCACACAACGATTTGAAGAATTGAGATTAGGATCTGTATGATTTTAGGTAATATTTGAGAGTTTTCAGAAAGGATTAGTATTTGGTTGACTTTTCCTAAAATTTAGGAGTGTTTTTAGGGTTGGGCTTGTTGTCAATATGACTCAAAGTAACTTATCAACAATTTAGTCTAACGCATATAGAACACTGCCTTTAACCATTATTTCAGTGTAGTTGAAAAACTTCTAGGATACAATAGACTTTTCTTGTCTAAAAACTAAAGCTCTCAAGAACTAGTAAGCACTAAAACTCAACCTAGAAAAATAAATATAATCAGAAAAGTTCAAGTATCTTTCGTGCGATTTTTTCAAAATATGTAAAATACTTTAATCAATGTAATTGTTCATGTAAACGTTACATATAACAATTAAATTAAAATAATAAAATAACAATAATAATTAATAAAAATTTTAAAAATATAATTATATTATTTTTCAATAGAACTAACCTATGAATATTCTTATCCTAAAAATATATATATTGAGCTAAATAGTGTAGAGTTTAATTAATTATTTTTAATTAATATAGCAACAAGATTTAATGGATTATTTAGGGTTGGATAGGGTTAGCTTGATATTTCAGCCCTTTTAGACAACTTTACCAAGAATGAGCTTTTAGTGTTTTGATTTGTTCAATATATTAATGATATTTTTATTATTTCAGCAATTCAATGTTATTTAAGATATGAAAATTAATAAAGAGGAGTTATGATAGATTGGTGGTCTAATTTTTTATATTAATTTTCCTTTTTGATTGATCTTTTATAACTTTGTTATTTTAAAATTTTGATAGTCTTGTGTATGAAAAAAATTAATAAAGAGTTAAACTAAGATAATTTTGTGCAAGAGGAATAATCTCTTCATTGTAGTAGTCGTGGAAAATTATGTTGTAGCTAATTTAACTTTATTTTTATTTCTGTTTCATCTCAATATCATTTTCCTATGGAATGATCACATTTATTAATCAAAGCTGAAAGAGTTGCAAGTAGCATTGTCGGGTCTATTCTAACTACATTATTAATTAAACACAAGATAAACAAATTTTGCTATTGTAGTTGAACTTTTTCATGGTAGAAAATAATCCATAAGCTGGTCTAATATATTATTGATACTCCCTTCTGAGCATTAGGTTCACTAGAGGGTAAGTTTTTCACTAAAAAAGAAAAGTATTTTCAAACAAATTTATCAATGTTTTTTTCCTATGATCTCTGAGACAAGAATATTGTAAGCTCTCTCTGTCAGGTGATAAATGTCCCAGAACACATACTTAGAGGCATCTTTACAGACTTTTAAGTGGAGGAGATTACAAAGAAGACCAAATTCCTAACAAAAAGATGCATCACTTACTTTGAGAACAAATCTATAGAAATAACTTGGTCTTTTAATTTTTTATAAGTACATAATTTATTTTTACATTTCTATTAATCTAAATATGGTCAATTTCACTTTAATTTGATGTATGAAGAGCAAGTAAATGTTGTTACACAATTGGTATGGTTTGATATATAAATTATATTGGTTTGGTGGTGTTTAGGTCAATTATTCTGACTTGATTTGCATAGAATAAGTTTGGTTGAACACTTCGATTTACATAAATGTTCAAAATGTTCATATGCAATATAGTACTATATAATGTTTAAATAAGTTTATTGCTTATTTTGAAGGAGAGATTTATCTTTTATAGAGGGGTTATTTGATTGCAAATAGGATATTTTTAATAAAAAATATTTGTAATTTCAAAATAAATATTATTTAATTGTGTGTAACTAAATTAAATTAATCTTATTTTAGTTTAATTAGTACCTTCAAATTTAAATTTTAAATATGTAACTGTTAAATATTTTTTAAAAACTTGATCGCCTAAAAATACATTTTATAAAAAAAACTACATATATTTTAAATAAAAATTAAAGTTGGACATGCATTTTACATGCATAAATGATAAAAAAAAGTACATGTATTAAAAATTGTAAATTTAATTAATTGTCGTTTGATAGAAATAATTTCTAAAAACGCATGCCCAACACACAACTTGATTTTTTTTACGTCAAGAGTTACAAAATTTTAAAAATGAAATAATTTTTTTTTTGAGGAAATACCAAATAATATACAATTTTTATTTTTGTCATGTAGTCAATTTTGTGCGATTCTCTCAGTGATAGGATTCAGCTTTCTTATTTTCAGTAATTAACAAAATTTAGGATAATTTGGTATGTCTATAACTACATTAAAAAATAATAATAATCAAATGTCACGAAATTTGGATTTTACCAAAATCATCAATAAATTCTTTTTATGGATTTTAATGTGAAGTAAGTTAGTGACAGCTAACAACTATCAATAATAGAATCTCAAATATAGCTGTTGGTGACAAATCGTTCAATTTTCTGAATGAATTTTCTATATATGTCAAAGTGAAATTATATTTATATTAAGATTATTTTATAACAACCCATATAAAAATATAAATAAGTAAAATCATTTATATTTTTTTACATGCATTTTTTTATTAATAAAACAAATAACAATTTTCTTAATTTTAATCTTTAAAATCGAGTTTAAATAAAAAATTATTTATTATATTAAAGATAAAAAAATGTAATAAATAAATTTAAATAAAATGTTACTGTTATTAATTATTTAAATTAATCAATTAAAATTAAATAAAAATAATAATAATGTATTTTTATTTTTATACTTTTATATAAATTTATTATGAAATAATTTTATAAGAATATCTTTTTTTTTTTTTTTTATCAAGATAGATAAGTCTTGATCAGTGGGAACCCAATAATAATGACTTAACATATATGCCTAAAATAATTCACCGACTAAGACTAGATAGCTATTATGGAACAAGCAACTGAAACGTTATATGAAATAATTACTTACTATATCTATATTAATCTCAAAGATTTTAGTATACTAATATTTTTAGTCTTTTATAATATAATTATATTTAATTTTAACATTTTAAGAGTTGTTCTTATTATTATTTAATAACCTTATTATACATTTAACTATGTCTAATGTCAAGTCAATAATCATTTTAAAATAATTATTTAAAAAATCAAAATTAGCAAAACAATTATAAATAAAATACTATCTACACAAAATAAAAATGTATTTTATCCTCCAGCAAAAAAAATAAGCATTTTATCCTTTAATATTCATATTAATTTATCTGAAACATTTTAATATTTTTTGTTACAATTTTAATATTTATTACAATCTATCCGTTACACACAAAAAGTATTAACAATTTATTCTTTAAAATTAATGAATTCTTAAAGTTAATAAATGATTACTATGGGTATTATATGTCTATTTTTAGAAATAAGGTATGAATTTAAATTATGTGTAAGAAAAAAACTATTAGAAAAAATAATACTATCATAGTATAAATATTTATTTTTTATTTTAACAGAATTATTTTCTACAAAAGATAGCAACAATCTTCTTCTAAAAATTCTATCCTTAGAAAAAAAAATAGAAACTTTACTCTTAAATAATCTTTAAATTTATTTTATCTTAATTTTTTTTTAAAACGTGTGGCTTTTAACGAATATATGTTCATTTTTTTAAAAATTAAATTATTTTTATGTTAATTTTTTATTTATGTTAAAGTATTACGTAGTTAAATTAATTGTTTCTTAAAATTTGTATTTAAAATTTTCTTTGTAAAAAATTAATCATTTTGTACTTTTAATTTTATTATTTTTAAATTCACTTTTATATAGTCAAATTAATCTGTAATTTTGTTATCCTCGTGTCTTCTACATCACCCATTGCTAAAAGGACATTATAAAACTAAAGTAGTTTTCTTTAAACTATAGAAGAAAATTTTAATTCAACCAAAAATATCCGCATTACGATAGGATTAGTTCTTTAGCAATTTTTTATTTCATTTTAAAGAATGTTTCATGTGAAAACTCAACAATGATTAAAATAGATTGCTATTTAAAGTAATTTTGCCTTGTAATATTAGTGTTTTGAATCATGAAATTATTACATTTGGAAATTTTTTTATGAATCACTAATAGTTGATTTTGAGCATTAATCTCAAAACTTAATTGTAAATATTCTTAATTAAAAATAAAAATAATATATTAATAAATGTCCTTATAATACTCAATAGCAAATATTTTATGAATCTTATATTTATTATTTATTTAAATTTAAATTTTTTAAACTACAAGTACTTATTCGAATTAGATGAAACAACTATTTAAATTTAAAATCTTATTCCTCTGTTCATTAAAAATATATATTTCACAATATAAATACAAATTAATCCGTGTAATTGCGAGATTATCTAAGGCAAGGAGAATCAGCTTACATACCTACTTATAAGTATAGATGATAAGGACTATAATAATTCAATTATATATATAATTTTAGGGTAATGAAATTTTAGAAATATGAGAAAAGAGAATAGCTTTTGAGAAAATGGGAAAACAAAAAAATTTGTAATTGGGTGTGATGTGCTATGCCATGTTCCAGGGAATGATGGTGTGTATATTGGCCTTTTGGGGTCTCCTTAAAAGAAGCAAATGCTTCTCTCTTCTCTCTCTCTCTGTATGGCTCTATGTTGAAGAACAAAACACACTTCTTCTCCATTTCCTTTGAGAGAGAAAAGTAAGGGACTTTGAGAGATTTTGAGTGCTATTCTGGCTGCACACCACTCTCACTCACCAATCAAACATGTCTATTGGGTATGCCGAGAAGCTTTCCTACATAGAAGATGTGGGCAACGTTGGAATGGCCGAACATTTCGACCCATCTCACGTTTTGAGAGAAAAGGTGGCTCCTTTGTCTCCATTCACCTTCTAGATGCTTCTATGTCTTGTTCTTCTTCTGACTGTTACTCACCCTTGTGCCCTTATTGCCTTAATAGCTTTGATGGATGATATTGATCTCTCAAGTGCCGCTTTATTGCTTGTGGGGTGCTACATGGAGAGGCCCCTAATTGCCATGAAATGAAGCTTTGTGTTGTTTGTTGTTATCTACCACATGATTGATTGATAATGGCTTTAATTTAGTAGTGTTGGGCTGGTTATGCTGAAATTTAGATGGAATTTAGTGGTGTTTGTATGATCAGCATGCCTGATTGTGAATATTTGTGATACTCGATTAGGAGTTTAGGACGACATATACTATAGAATTGATGACCTAGTACAAGGGTTTAGATTAAATGAATAATGCTTTGAAATGTTGATCAGCTACGTTCTTAGGTATTTTTAAGATTGTGTATAACCTCAATGTGGAATTTTTTTTTTATAGACATTGGTTAAGGCTAAAGACAACCAATAATGATGGTGCTCTTGTGCGTGTCTGTGGGACACGGCTTATTGTTTTACATAAAATTGGTGAATGTTCACTAATTTCTTTTCTCAGTACGATTATCATCAGAAAGGGAAGTTTTGTTTTGTTGTTGATAGGATTCAATTTCTCCCTCCCCTATTGAGGTGTGGTTTGGGTTGGCTAGCCTTGGTAGTTTATTTCAACTCCCTAACTTGGGGTTTAATTTCATTAATGCTTTGTCCTTGACATTGCTTTAGCTTGTTTAGGGTTTTCTTTTCTGTTTGTACCATTTCTTATTGTATATAAACAGAAGAACTGTGGCCTGGTAGATGCCAGAGTTGTCTTCCTAAGTTTTGCCATCTTAACAATAAATGAAGCTCTTTTTTTTGGGTGAATTTCACCAGTTCAAATAGTGCCCACTGATTTAGGGTCTAGAGATAGCATGCATATGTTGATTGGCTTTATAATGTGTTGTTTGATCCAAACCTGAATAAATGATACAATGTTAGACAATGGAATGGGTTTTGTACCTTGGAGATAAATTATATCCTGCTAATGATGAATATATGCTGCTACCTGATGTGAGATTGTGGTACAATGTAGAAGTCTGATAGGCTTTAATTTTCTTTTGAAATGCTTTTGACATCAACTTATGTGGATATGGATATATCATATATGTGTACTTTTTTTTATTGATAAGCTGGACTATACTTTTATAGTAGTGCCATTTATTTTCTATTGTTTTATGTAAGCCCATCCCAAGTTTATCAGGATGAAGCTTTTGGTTGTTATTGGAACATGATTTAAGCATATTGGATATGATAGAATCATCAGCTGGACCATTACAATTTGTAGTTTCTTTATTGGGTGGCTTTAGTATTGTAATCATTGAAGTTATCAACCATGCATCTCTTTTTAAGAGTAAGTTAGCAATTTTCAATACACATGCATTGTGACTACTGATTCGTCTTGTTTTGATGGACATGTTCATGTCCTTTGTTGGTTTCCTATGGTATTTATCTAGTTTGTCTACACATATGTGTACAGCACATTGTTTATGCAGATATGCATGCCTTTTTCTTTATATTTATGAATGTTGGAGTCATTTATTCAATATTGTTTTCTCTGTTATGATGTTTGTCCACTATATTTAATAACATCAATCCTTTTTGCTGTTTTTTTCAATCATTTCTTTTGATTTCTACTTACATATGCTATTGTTAAAAGTTTCAATTGTTTCTCTTTTTTTGAATTAGAAATGTAGTATATTACTTTATCACCAAGTAAGAAGTTTCCTTCATTTCAATTTAGATTATAAGGAGTGCAAATGTATGTTATAAAAGGGAATCATTACCAACCTTTGACCAGAACTAATGCTTCATTTTTCATATGCTTACATAATTTCTCTTTCTTGGCAGATAGATCAACTCGCTATCATGATAAAAAAGGTATTGATTTGCAGCTACTTATAAGTGTTGATGTTGGGGAGTTTCCTTTCTCTGTTTTATGTTTTTATATAATTGTCCTTTTTTAACTTGATTTCTATTTCTCCTTGCAGAGCAAGCATCTAGTGGTGTTTACAGGCGCAGGAATATCAACTTCTTGTGGTATACCTGATTTCCGAGGTCCCAAGGGAATTTGGACGCTTCAGGTGATAACCTTGAAGCTTGGGAATGCCTATACTATAATTGAAATTAAACTTCCTTTTGGAGATTATACAATTGTGAATGTATGCTTGACTATTTCAGCAGTGTCTATCAGATTTAGGTAGTAAGAATAGTGTCATTAATTTCTAGTTACAATACTATGAATTTCTTGCTTTAGGTCTTAAATTTAGGATTATGCATTCTCATACTAACAGTAACAGTAGAGAAGTTGCTTTACCAGTTTGTAGTATACATGTTTTCTGAAGGGATGTGAAAAGAAGAATATAGTGCATCTGTTATAGAATTTGTTACTTTTGTTTAATACATTGACCATAATACATTCTAACAATTTCTGGTTGATTTGCTGAAGTATTTCCTATAAACCAAATATAACAATTTCTGGTTGATTTGCTTCAAATAGAATTTGTTGCCAACTTTTTATAAATTGATATAGATGTGCAAGAATGTATCTTATAAACCAAGATCGGAACTTCTTTCCTATTAAATTTTGATGGGATATGAACTATTTTAACTTCTTCAATGCAGTTAGTTTAAGTATTTATTGTTCTAGTTGTGCTTGATTTATCCTCTTTACAATTTACATGAATTTGTTGGCAACCCTACCGAGTAACCACAAGGAAAACATATCTCCTGTGGTATCTTTAATGATTTTGTTTCAACACAAAGAAGGAAGGTTGTATGTTTTAATAAGATTTTTCTTCCAATCCTACTATTATTTGTTAGTACTTATTCTTTCAGAATCTTCTATTTTTCTTATGGTTTATGAACTTCACATGGAGCTCTTCTCATCCTGTGATCTGTATTGTTACAGCGAGAAGGGAAAGCCTTGCCTGAAGCATCTCTGCCATTTCATCGTGCAGTGCCAAGCTTGACTCACATGGCTCTGGTTGAATTAGAAAAGGCTGGTATTTTGAAGTTCGTTATCAGTCAGGTAGAGTCATTGTGTTTTTATTTTGTGTATATACTCAATTAATATTTTATTAGTAAAAGTTTTACAATATATATATATATATCCTTACTAATGTCAATTTTATTGCACTATTTATTTAATAAGTTTAAATACTATTACTATTGTGTCTTAAGACTCAAAAATAATAAAAACATAATATAATTTATAAATATGACTATAATATAGACCCTGTGAGTTGTACATGTATTTTTTAATATAAATTTATTAGTCTTGTATATATTAATTAAATTTAATAAAAATAGGTTTAAGAAAAATTAAAGTGTATATTTTTTTTAATTTTGTCTTATTTAATTATTAGTATTCTAATAATGCGTATGTGTACTCCTATGTTCCAAAAATTATTTTTAAAATATAAATTTTTTCAAATAGCAACTACAAGTGTAATGATAAAAAAATAAGAAAAAAAATATAAATATGGATTTTTTAATTTATTTATTAATTATATGAATAAAATATATAAAAATTATATAAATAGTATAATATATAGATAAAAATTATTTTTAATATTTTAAAAATAAAATAATAATATTTACAATATAAGAAGTAAATCAATTAATTAACATATGAGAAATAGCAAATGAATGGTGTAGTACATAGCATTTTAGATCCTGTACATATTATTGTAACACAACAAAATAAATTATTAAAAAATTAGCAGATGCATAACATTGCACACAAAAAAATGAAAAATTAAGAAAATAATAAAAGTCACTCTTTGTAAGCTTCCTTTTTAATGTATAATATAGATTATAATAATTAGTCTTAAAATTGAAAAACCCATATGTAAAGATATAAAAAATAATAATGTCCATCAAAATTTCAATGACATAAACCATACAAAAAAAAAAAAAAAGAGACAAAAAAACAGATACCCAGCCTTGCAAGAACGGTGAAAGTAAGAAACTTTTTCATTGTGTTTTAACCAAAAAAAAAAAATATGGGAGAAAAGGAAGGAAGAACAAATGTGAAGAAGAAATAAGAGAAAGAAAAAGCAAATAATTACCTATGGCAAGCAACACCTGAGCGAGAAAAACAGAAAAGCATGTTGTTGATTGAGAAAGACGAAGTGTGAAGTGAAACGTGAGTTGGTGAATATTACATGGTCTAATTAAAATTAGATGATATTTACAATGATGCCATTGCATTTTCATTCTTCTCATTTTGAAGTATTTCAATTATCAAAGAAAAAATTTGAAAAGAAGTTTTTTTTTTTTTTTTTTAATTTTCAAATTTGGGTTGAATTTTGAAAATGTTTTCAAGAAAAATATTTTCTAAAATCCAACCAAACATATTTTCGCTTCTATTTTCTGTTTTCATTGAAAATGAAAGCAGAACATGAGCAAACCAAATAGGACCTTAGCTTCTTGAACTAATTTGGTGAAAATAATACCATAATAATTTGATGGACTGTTGTTATAACAAGCTTTTCACTTGTTCCTTTGCAGTTAAAATTCAATAATATTTCCATTTCGTTTTCATCAAGATGTTGTTGAAGAATTAAGAAAAACACACACACAAATATGTATATAATATTTTCATAACTTTTTATTTTCTTATGATAGAATGTTGATGGTCTCCATCTTCGGTCTGGAATACCAAGGGAGAAACTAGCTGAATTGCATGGGAATTCCTTCATGGAAATTTGTCCTTCTTGTGGAACTGAGTACGATCTGATTTCTCTTTACATCCAAGTTTTGCTTTTGCATGAGCTTTATTAGTACTAGTAGGGGGTTAATTACTCCAGTCTATTCAATTAAATATCTTCTCATGAAGCTTTGGGTATTTATAATGCTGAGCTAGCATGTATCAGCAAAACAAGCACAATGCCTGTTTTTTATCAATAGAAATTTCACCTGTAGTTTCTTTTTTTTCTTAATCATTTCTAATATTATCTTTGTAGGTTCCACTACAGACTTGGCCTGATTTGTCTAGTTGCATTAAGTCAATCATGTAGTGGTGTTGGTTCATGCCTGTTTTTATTTCTATTATATCTTCCTTTCTTCAAAATTTAGTTTTGTTCTCTAGAACTTATATCTCATCAAGAATATCCATGTGGCTCTTGTTATAAGCCACCTTTTGGGTGACCTTACATAATTATAACTTTTTCTTTAGGTCTGAATTTGTTATGTTTATATATTTGTATCTAAAATGTTGTCGTTCTTCCAAACCTTGTGTCTTTGAATGAATTGTAATCTAATTGTATGATTGAAACCTATTTAAGGTACTTTCGTGATTTTGAGGTAGAAACTATTGGTTTAAAGGAGACATCACGGCGCTGTGTTGATGTAAAATGTGGGACAAGGCTTAAGGATACTGTCCTTGATTGGGAGGTACTACATTGTTTATTTTCTTAATGGGAATTTGGTTGAGGTTCAACAATTATTTTTCATTTTAATGGTAATTTGTTGTTTACTTAGGATTGAAATAGAACTGCAAACCAATCCCATTGTTACGAGTTATACTGCAATCAAGTTTGATGAATTGCTTTTCTTTTTTATGGGTATTTAGGGTACGTTTGGGTAAATAATACACTTGTTAAATAAGCTCTTATCTAATGAGAGCTCATGCATTAGCATTATGAAGTTGAATCATTTTGAAATCAGTTGAATAGAGCTTATAGGAAGGTTATGAGTAACTTTCATAAGCTCTTCTAAGTGCATCTTTATTATATTTAATAATGGAGACACCAAAAGCTGAAATTCTGTGGACTTGTTTGAGGTTCTTTAATTTCCTGCAAGTCTGTAAGGAATGTTAGTCTTTCACTAATGGGTCTCAATTGTACACTAATGCATGATGACAGAAGTATAAATTTATAGACAAAAGAACACATGAAATAAGTTACATGGACACTGAAAAATAGAAAAGATTTTATGTGGGGAGCTAGTTGAAGTTGTATATTAAGCCTGATTGTCCTTAGCCAAGCTAACCATTAAGCAACACTTGATTTCAGTTGTTGTGAAAACTGTTGTGTCTAGGGTTTTGATTAAGGACATGTAGATAAACATTTGTGTTTGTTTTGTATCTGCATATCCATGTTTCTCCCTAAACAAGTCTATGTCCTTGTATGTACAGGATGCATTGCCTCCAAAGGAGATGAATCCTGCTGAGAAGCACTGCAAACAGGCAGATATTGTGTTATGTTTGGGGACGAGGTAATAACATGATTTGTAGTCATCAATGCAGCATTTTTTTTGTTTTTCTTTCACTTTTTCCTCTAATTTTTTCAATACTTTGCTATCTTGTGTCTGTTTCTCTCTCCTCCACCTTTTTGTCCACACTTTTAGAGTTTAGTTTTTATTATTAAATGGGTAAAAGTTGAAAAAGTTTTTCTTTCTAAGCAGATCTGATAAGCATTGGCATAAATTTTGTGGCAAAAGCTTTACTACTCTAGTGATTCTTAAGTGTTCTGAGAAGCAAACTTCTTGCATTAGAATGATAAGTGAAAGTGATCCACATCTTTTGCTTAGTCTCTTCCAAAATGAGTAGTTTCTGAGCTTGAACCCTCGTTAACATAGTCTTATATAGAATACCAGCAATTGTGGTTGACATACATTTAACGAATTTAAAAGATGATTCTACAAGAATATTTCATGTCTTTGAATGGAATATCAATATGAGCAATGCATGATCATATTTCCATATCTTTCAAAAATGTTTATCTTTGGTATATGTTTCATTTGATACATTGTTGCTAAAATCTCTAAATGCAGTTTACAAATAACTCCAGCATGCAACTTGCCTCTGAAAGCACTTCGTGGTGGGGGTAAAGTTGTCATTGTAAATCTCCAGGTATGTTACCCTTCTTTTAGCCAGCTCTAGATGTTTATCAATGGTAGACCCAATTTCCTAACTTCTAAAATGAAGGTTCTTTTTTTTTTTTTTTTGTTTTAAGAGGTTTAAACCTCATATTTTCTACTTGTTTTTTATTTTGCTGATGAGATTTTAATAGTTAAAGAAATGCTAATTTGCTGCTTTTGCTTTGAGGGAACAACAATGCTATTTAGGCTCCACTGATTAGATTTTTAAAAATTGAAATTTTATGGGTAGAACATGTAAGTTCTATAGTATTTGGTTCATTCTTACTATGCAGTCAATAATATTTGGTCTAATATAATTTACTTTATTTCAAATTCGATCCTTATGATTGTCTCTATTTGTCACTTTGACCACACTTCCTGCTAGTATTATGTAGCAAAGTCTTGGGCTTGGCTGTTCTGACCAGCTTATGCATGTAAATAATCAAGAGTGCCCTAAATTAATAGTCTGACCAATCTGAAATCAATTATGGGGTCAACATATGCCATAGTTACAAAAGAATATATTAAAATTGTAGGATGTCTATGATTGCTAGGTCGATGCTGATATCAAAGTTAACTATGTAATTATGTTATGAATGAACACCCTCCTTGAACATGCTGGCTGGCTCATAATTTTTAAGTTTCTGAGTTTTTTTATCATATTTATATGACTGTTCATTATTGTAATCATCTAAACTATAAAATGTTTGTACTGTACAGAAAACTCCAAAGGACAAGAAAGCCAGTTTAGTCATACATGGATTTGTAGATAAGGTATTTGATCTGAGACATTGATTATTGAAGATATTTTCTTTTCCATTTTTTTTGGGTTTTCAGAGTTTCTTGTATTAAAGTTGACATTGTTATTAAAGTTGTGAAAAAAGCACTGACAAAACCAATGGGTAGAGTAGAGATAAGGACAGCATGTGTTATAGTTTTCTGTATTAACAAACACTCAAACTACAGTCTACAAATCAATTCATCCAGGGTTCAAGTTCAAGGAAGTTTTATGTTATAAAGTTAAAAACACCCAGAGAGACATAGCAACTGTTTAGCCTTTGTTAAACTTCTATTAATGTAATTTATAAACTTTTTATCATAATAGTACAGAATTTATTATCTAGTATGAATTTGCTAATTAGGTAAACATAGTCACGTAGGTGAGCATATTACTAGCATTTCGTGAGAATAACATTAACACAATCCTGGAGCACTTTTTTCTTAAAAAGAAATAAATAAACAATCATTCAGCTCTGTTTTCACCATGTTGCTGAATTCCTTGGTGGTCTTAATACATGACTTGTCATATCATTGATCTTTATCATCTATTTTCTTAACAGATTTCTTGTTTTTTTCTATCCAAAGATTTTACAAGTGACTTGGTTTTTTCACCTGTCATGAGGAATAAATACAGATATGCATTTATGAATTTTAATATGCATAAATTCAAACTGGAACAGGTAATTGCAGGTGTCATGGACCAGCTTAATCTTCAGATTCCTCCATTTATCAGGATTGATCTTTTCCAGATTATTCTGGTGCAAGCTTTGAGCAACGGTAATCAATGTTGAATTGTACTTTAAGCTACATCTCAGCATGTTCTTGTGTTCAAATGGATTCAATATCATAGTACACACGCCCAAACATTCTCGTGTTAGATACATGAGTGAACAAAATGGAACTTATGATCTGGTTCTTCAATGGACATTGTGCTAATAAGCTGTAAAAATAAGCTATTCATGGATCCACCTAGTTAACTCTTCATAAGTTTCAATTGTTTCATGTTATGACATGAAAATAATTGTTTATGCAGTTTTCTAGCTTTAGAATAAGTTTCTATGTTTTTCTGATTGACCATTAGCAATTTCCAAAGTAACTGGACTGGACAAAGCTTCTTTCTGACATAATAGAATCATTGTCTGCTTATTCCTAATATCTTCTACTGACTCATTTAATCCTGTCTTTGAAAATTGGTTCCCTTATTAGTAATCTCATAATTCTTGGTTGAACGCTGCACTCACATTACGCAGCCAAATACCAAGACAGTGGATTGGTTTAAATATCTTATATAGATTAACTTGCATCACAGATAAAAGATATGTGAACTGGACTCTCCAGGTTGCAAGTGCTCATGGACAAAGAGCTGCATTGCCTTTCATCAAGTCTGTTGAGGTGAATTCATATGTTCAATCTCTTTCTGCTCGCATTCTGGCTAGCATATCTTCATTCCCTTAAGCAATCTCATGTTTTCATAGAAAAAAAAAATCAAGGGAAGGCTAGAAATTGACTAGTATATCTGTCCTGCTGCAGGTCTCCTTCTTAGACAGGGAAGATTACAAAGCAGCCAGTCTGGATAAGCAACCATTTCGGCTTAAAAGGTTTTCACACACTGCCATTGATCAAATTTTTACTCAGTTTATTGGTCCTTACGTACTAGATGAGATTAAACTGAATTCGGAAGAATTGTGAAAATCTAGGTGAAGTCTTGGAATTTTGGAACAGAACTCTTCATTTCTTTGTGCTGCTTAATTTTAAATTCTCACAACTGATATCATGGCCTGCATCTTTTAGTTACATTTAGTTGATTGATGTATCAGGAGAACAGCGTATAACAAGGCATTTGAAATGGTTCTGAAACTCAACTTTAGTGATGGCTGTGGTTGCTCGTCCCACGAAATTGATGTCCCAGTTGATTTTAAGGTAACGTGTTTGCTTGATTTTTACCTATCTTCTCATACGATGCTACAGTTTCCATAATAGGTGAACGAAAAGTAACTATGCTTGTTGGGAAACACTATTTAGTATTTAAAAATCTCACTCTTCAGGAGTTTAGGAGGGATGTAGAATCAGTATTGTCATTGTTTCTTCTATATCTAATGCTATTTTATTCTCTTATCCAAAAATGAAGGTTTTGCATTATGCATTAAATTTGTCTAGGGCCAATTGTTGTAAAGCTAATAATATCTTACCTGAAAAATTATGATTTCAGGTTTCAACTGATTGCTTTGACTTTGATAAGGACTTCATATTCCAAAAGCTGAGAGACAAGGCAATTCTTGAATCAAAATGTGGTCAGAATGCTGTTATCGAGAGAAAGACCATCTTGACACCTAGAAGTGATGTCACTACCTATGCCATTGTCACCAATGCTATTCAATACAGCAAAACATGTAAATCAGTCCCTGATTCTCTCAGTAATGGTGATCTTAAGAAAAGAAAATCAAGCGTGACCGGTACAGGATCGTCTAGGAAGCGTTCAAAAGGGTCCTCCAAATGTAAATCTAAATCAGAGAATTTTAGGGGTTAGGACTTAGATGTAGGTTTTGTATGTATGATATCAAGCATTAGGATTGACAGGAATGAGAAAATGTAGAGACTGAGTGAATTTTGTTAGATGTTACACTCAGTCCCCTTTAAATGGTATCCATGATACTAAAAGGCTTTATGATACCATAATTACTAATATAGTGGCTATTCTTGGTGTGACTTTGGAATGTTTATTTTATAAAAATTTCAGACAAATTGATATGAACTAGAGGTGTAAAAGGAAATTTATGTTGAGCATATGCAGAGCTCAACTGGTGTAAAGGAAATGTATGTTTTATCCCTTAATTAACTCCTAAAGATTTTATTTTTATCTTTAATCTTTTCCAAACTTGGCTAATGGATCTTATTAGGTGTTATGCGATGCAAATAGAAATTGCTGATTGTTGATAGTGAAATTTGTCCATGTTTTTGTTTTTTATAATTAGTCAAGTCAGATTTTGTGCTTAATGATGAGATCATCATGCTTGAGCTTATACATTTTTTTTATCGGATGTCCTGATGAGAGTTCTGCTTTAATTATTATTATTCATGTGCAAAGTTATATACAATACTATATTAATCCTTTTAAAATTTTGATTACCAAATTAGTTTTTAAAATTTTTGTCCCTATTTTTGTCTTTTAAAATTTTTATCATCAAAATTAAATTCTAATTTTTTTCATTACTTTAAAGAATTAATTTTATAAGAAATAAAAATTTTAAGAGTAATTAATGACAAAATTATTAAAAGATTAAAGTAATGATAAAATGAATTTTTAAAGGGTTAATTTAACGATAATAATTTTCTTAAAAAGTAATGTAATGATAAATAATTTTAGAAAATCAAGTTAATTTGAGATAAATGTTTTACGAAAGGAAAAATCAATTGAGAAGCCAAAGATATGGCCTTTAACAAGTTTAGTGCTTGAGAAGGGAAAAAAAATTCAATGATAGATAACTTGAGATACAAGTTTAGAAGGAGCAAAATAACATAGATCACGACTCACAAGTCTCAATTCATCCTTAAATTCTAGTAAAAAGTCTCACTTCCAAACCAAAACTCAAACAACATCCATCAAATCAAACCAACCACATCTAAACATCTAAAGAGTCTAAACAATCAAAATAACAACAAAACAAACAAGCCATTAGTATCTTTAATTACTCAACCACAACTCACACAAATCCACACCCCCCAAAAACAAAGTCCCAAACAGATACCTTCCCAAACCTCAAAAAAGAAAAAGAAAAAGAAAAGAAGTCACAAAAGAAACTAAAAACAGAAATGCTTAGCTATTGCTCCACAGTGACACCCCAAATCCCGACTTCAGTGACCTCACCAAATCCACAAACCCATCTCATCAAAAACTTCAACACCCCATCTGAACTCAAACAAGCACACGCCTTCCTTATCAAAACCAATGCCCCTCTCTCCACTCTCCCTCTCACGCGCGTGGCCATCGTTTGCGCCCTCACTCCCAGTTTCCCCTATGCCCACAAAATCCTTCACCTCTCACACGTCCCAGAAATCGTTCCATGGAACTCATGTCTCAAAATATTCGCAGAACGCGCGTCCCCACTCGACGCCATTACGCTCTTCATTCGTTTGCGCCAAATGGGTACCCTCCCAAACCCCTTCACTTGTTCCTTCGTTCTCAAGGCATGTACCACTTTATTCGATGTTTCCACCGGTAGAATAGTTCATGGGTATGTGGAGAAACTTGGGTTTCAGAAAAATTTGATTTTGCAAAACATGGTTTTTCATTTGTACGCAATTTGTGGCGAAATGAGGAATGCGGAGCTACTGTTTGATAAAATGCCGCAGCGAGATGTTGTCACTTGGAACATAATGATGGGTCAGTTGATAAAAAGGGGTGATGTTGGTGGTGCTTATGGTTTGTTTTCGTTGATGCCAGAGAGGAATGTGAGGTCTTGGACTTCAATGATTTCTGGGTTTGTTCAATGTGGAAAGGCTAAGGAAGCTGTTGAATTGTTCTTGGAGATGGAGAGGGAAGGTTTGAAGCCTAATGAATTTACTGTAGCAGCTGTTCTTGCTGCTTGTGCTGATTTGGGGGACTTGGATTTTGGAAAAAGTGTTCATCGGTTGGTGGATCGAGATGGGTTTGGAGGGGATGTCCTTGTTTGTAACACTTTGATTGATATGTATGTGAAGTGTGGATGCTTGGAGGAGGGTTTTAGAGTTTTTGATGCCATGCCAGAACGAACAGTTGTATCGTGGTCGAGCTTGATCATGGGATTTGCAATGCATGGACATGGAGAGAAGGCTTTGGAATTATTTGGTGAGATGATTGGATCGGGTGTGAGGCCTACTCATGTGACTTTCATTGGGATCTTGCATGCTTGTAGTCACATGGGATGGGTTGAAAAGGGTCATGAGTTTTTCACAATCATGAGTAGAGACTATGGAATAGTGCCTATTATTGAGCATTATGGTTGTTTGGTTGATATGTTGAGTCGTGCAGGGTTCTTGAAAGAGGCTCATGAGGTTATTATAAACATGCCTATGTCACCTAATGGTGTTATTTGGGGTGCACTGCTTGGTGGATGCAGACTTCATAAGAACACTGAATTGGCAGAGGAAGCTATGAAGCATATTTCCGAATTGGATCCACTTAATGATGGGTACTATGTGGTTCTTTCAAATGTTTATGCAGAAGCTGGAAAATGGGAAGAAGTGACAAGAATAAGGAAGTTAATGAAACATAGAGGGGTGAAGAAAACACCTGGATGCAGTTCAATCACAATAGATGGAGTGGTTCATGAGTTTGTAGCTGGGGATGAGACTCATCCTCAAGCTGAGGTGATATTTGAGATGTGGGAAAAACTTCTTGTGAAGATAAAGGCAAAAGGGTATGTGCCAAATACTTCAGTTGTTCTTCTTGATGTTGAAGATCAAGAGAAGGAGAAGTTCCTTTTTCGCCACAGTGAAAAATTAGCCCTTGTATATGGCTTAATGAACACTAAACCTGGAATGCCAATAAGGATAATAAAGAACCTTAGAGTATGTGAGGATTGTCATGCTGCTTTTAAACTGCTTTCAGCCATTGAAAATCGAGAAATTGTGGTGCGCGATAGGAATAGGTTTCATTGTTTTAAAGATGGTACTTGTACTTGCAAGGATTATTGGTAGCAAACCAAAATGAGTTTGTTATATATAGATGTCATTAATTGATATTCAACTATGCAGAAGAACAAAAAAAAATTCTCACAGAATGTTCACATTGTACCTTTAATTGACATGTTAAAAAGATGAGTTGTATAAATTCATCAAATTGAGATATCAATTTCATTCATGTGGAAGTTGAGTTGTATGGTCATGATTCCTAAATTTGAATAAATTTGATAAAATAAAATATAAATCAATTTAAATTGAATCGGATTTGTAATTAAATCAAATCAATTATACATCTAATTCCTAGTGCATGTTAATAGTAATGCACTCATAACGTAAAAATATCATTATTGATGGCTTCTAATACACATTCTGAAATGCTAAAGTAGTAACGCACCCATAATTAAATCAAACATTCAATACCATCAGCCTCTAATATAAAATTTTCATAATTGATGGCTTCTGCAACACATTCTGCAATGCTAAAATAACGAGTTCAACCATCACGTATTAATTATACATTCTGATATTTGGGTTGACAAGTTTTGAAGCTTACAAAAAATGGTCTAATATAAAAACAGTAAAAAAATGACGTTATTAAAATAAGAAAAAACAAACAAAAAAAAATAAATTATTCAAACTATCAAGTTAGTTTGCAAAAGTCCATAGCTCTCATAGGGCAGCTTGACCAGTAAAAATACAAACTCATTTTTATTTTAGATTAAATAAATTTGATCCGTTTGAGTCTGCTACCCATATTAAATCTAATCGTCCATTTTAACAGCTCTAATTATAAGTTGGATTAAGTATTTTCATACAATAAATGTAATTGTTTTGATAAGATTAATGTAACAATAGTAACAAAGTAATGTCAACATGCTCTATATTTTTGTGTTTATATATATAAAAAAAAATAAAATCAGACCTTCTCACCAAATATTCACATTTATTGTGGTCTTTTAGAACTACGGAAATGATCAAAACTTTGTCCAATTAATCACTTGTATAGTTGATAACTATTTCTGTGGGATTGATACAACTCATGTTTGAAATGATGGTATAAACATTAACAATTTGCTAATTAAACTTGCGGCTTTTGTTTAAAAGGAAAAGAAAAATTATAGCACCTTGAAAACAGATGGTGGTGGTATATATATATATATATATATATATATATATATATATGTGTTCATTGCTATCTTATCAATCGTTATAGTTATTGCATCTGACTTGTGTTTTACAATCATGTTACCTCATTCTTCTACAATATTAAAATCACTTTTATTACTTCGACTTCATCTTTTATTATAACCTTAAGACTCAGTTGAAAGCTTATCAAAATGTGTTGTATGTTTGTCAAAATTCAAATTAAATGAAAACAAGTTCAGAAAACATGAATAAGGGATAAGAAGAAGAAGAAAAAAGAAAAAAAAGTTATAAAGAAGTGCACAAAAAAAAAGTTGTGAGAGAAATAAAATGAAGAATAAATTTACAACGAAGTTAACGTTCTTGACAAAAAAAAAATTATTTATTTAAAATACTTTTAAAATAAAAATTAATTTAACTTATTAAATATTTATCTAGAAATCGGATACGATGTTAATTATTTACCATTTCTTATAAATAATTAATGAAAATATGTAAATTTATAAGTCAGATTATTATAATTAATGTTTTCAATATATGATATCTAATAATGATAAAATATTAGAAAAGGAAAAAAATAAAATAAAATGCTTGCAAGTGTTTTTTACTTTAGCAATATAAAAGTTAACCAATTTGGAGCAAAAATAAATTGAGGATTAGGCGTAATCAAGGTTACATTAATCACCAAAACTCTCAGGTGACTCTTAATCCAACCAAATGCTGTATATCTCTCATTGCTATATTTATATAGCACCTCGATTATACCCTTCTCCTCCTCCTATAAATTCACTAGTTGGACTTTGATAGTTCCCATTCAAGTGTCAGATTCAAGAATTCAATCTCAAATTGAGTTATTTTTATAGTCTGTTAGGGATAAAAAGAAGAGGTCGCTGTGTTTTCAAACAAAGGCTATGGAGCATGGAGATTCCTTCTTTCACTATGACCAACATGAAAACTCAATTTCAGGTAAGCACTCAACAAAAGAAGAAAAAAACCCTCCGGTGTACACTTAGAGATTGGATTTTCTTTTATATAAACATATCCATAGACTTATAATGAGTAGCGTTTAAATATACCTAAATTTTCAATGTTTCTAATTATAATTAACGTATTAAATCTACATTTGCAAGCCTTTTAAGGTGAATACAAACACACTGAACACTTATAATTAATGTGTGTTTAGATTTGTATTAATTTTGCTTGAAAGTGAACCAAATCAACACACCATAGAGGAGCTTTTGCATGAAGAACAGGCATATGAAGACAACCACAAGAAAAATCATAATAGTATAATTCTAAAAAAATTTATAATTAATCTGAATTTTTTATTTAACTTACATTTAACAAGTTATAATTTATTACTTTACTGATCGTTAGAGGTAAATTAAATGAATTTTTTTTTTAAATTTACATTAATGTAAGAAGATCTTTTCTCATGTTTGATTATATGTTTATTTATCATATGTACTTTTAATGTAAACAATTTTTTTAATCCAATTACATACTATAAGAATTATATATTGGAAGGTTTTATTAAAGAGTATATAATTCAATATATTGATACCACTGCTAAATGCTAAATGTTATAATTAAGTTCTTATAATGTGAAAGTTAGAAAGTAATTAATCCTCCCTTATTCAACCTCTACTTAGAATTAATCTAAAAGTTTTATTGATGTGGATTGGTAGTTAAAGATAATAAATTATTTATAAATTTTTAAAAAGATGTTTGGTTGAACAAAAAAGAGTTATTTTTAAGAGAAAAAAAAGTAAAATTTATCTTTCCTTCTAATTTTTTCTTTAATACAATTTTTTTTAAAAAAAATTCCTCTCATTTTCTTTCCATGAAAATAAACAAAGGTAAAATTTTTACAATAATTTTTTAGTATAAAAGTGTTAGTGATGCACATAAAAATTATTATTATTATTATTATATATATATATATATATATGTATATATAATTTTTTTATAACAATGACGTTAAGTTATGTCTAAATAGAGTAATTTAAAATTAATGTAAGTATTTGAATAGTAATTTTTTTAACATAATAAATACATTATAATTCAATAAAAAAATTATCATTTTTAATTTCTTATCCTCAACTCTTAAAATCTAATATCAATATTTTCCTTTTTTTTCCTGTCTTATTTAATGAAAAATTGCTATGCTTTTTAAAATGTTGAACAATGGGAACTTTTCTTTGGTTGGTTCAGGTTCAATAATTCCATTGCAACAATCAAATGCATTTGCAAAGAAAGAAACTTCAACACCAATCAACTCAAGTAACCATGGCCTTGTTCCCAATTTGGTTGCAACAAAAGTCAACATGCCAATTTCAAATGTGACAAAAATCATGAGACAAATTCTTCCAATTAATGCAAAAATTTCAGAGAGTGCTAAGGAGATGATTCAACAATGTGTTACAAAGTACATAGCCTTTGTCACTAAAAAAGCCAAGGAACGATGCCAAAGCGATTATAGAAAAATTATGAATGTTGAGGACCTTTTATGGGCCCTAGAGGAGCTGGGCTTTGATGACTATGTTGGGCCTCTCACTGTTTTCCTCCAACGCTATCGTGAGGAGCCCATTCTTCCAAGTGTAAAGCAAAGCATTGACAATAGTGGGCCTATTACTGGGCCGGAGGCTGGTACAAAGCCCACTGTTGAAATAGTTCAACCATCCTTATCACCACCACTTGGCTCTTCTGGGCCAGACTTTTCCATGGACCCAAATTCAAAAATGGAAATTTTTGACCCAAATGACATAAATGAAGTCATTAATGGGTTCTACATGGATGGGTTTGATGTTGGTTCTTTGGACAGTGCTTTGACCAACTTTGACCCCTCCTCTTCTTTCAAACATGATTGAGTTTGATGAAATGATAATTGGAGAAATTTAGGTGCAGTTCATAATTAGGGCAATGAACTATGTTAAGCAATAAGTAGTGATAGGATAATGTTTAAGTTTGTTTTAACTATTTTACTTATCCTTCAAAACAGAGAAAAAAAAAGGAGAAATTTTATGGTATAATGTATACCTGTTTTTATTGTTTATGAATCATTTTAGTATTAAGGGTTTTACAAGAATGACTCCTCTTGTCTATAAATTTTAATAAATTTTTTTATTTATTAAATTCTTATTATATATACTTAAATATTTATTAAAATACATTTAAAACTATTTGTAATGACATAAATTCATAACTTATCGAAAAAATTGTAAAATTCGAAAGTTAATTTATAAAATTATTAAACACATTAATCAACTAGAATAAATTAATTTATAAAAAATACTTGAATTAATATTTAAATTATTAAAAAATGGCTTTTAATATTTTTTTTTTTATTTTTTAAATAATTTATTCTCTGAAAAGTGATATTGACATGTTTTAATCATTTAATATATTTGAAATTATTTATACAAATAATTTAAATTAAATCAGTTTTTTTTATATAAGTTGTACACTACAATTTATTAACTATCTTTCTTAATTTTATTAAATGAAGTCTTAATTTATCATTATTTAAAGTTAAATGTATTATTATATCAAAAGTAAAAATTATAAAAGTTAATAAAAATGTGAATAATACACTCTTCTAAACGTATTCTTTAGTTTTTTATAATTAATTTATTTTTAAAAAAGTAAAAATATATCTCATAAATTAATCACTTTTTAAAATATTATTTTCTTTAAAAAGTAGATGAACTATATAAAATATATTAAGAATATGTTAATGAGAAAATATATAAAAATAATAAATACTTTTTAAAAGAACTAAGGAAGTCGTAATGTTAATGTATAAACAATATTTGCCACTTTGGAAAGCCGTTATAATCCCACCCATATCATTTAAATTCCACCGATTCCCCAATTCATATGATTCTCATTCCCATTGCCATCACTTCTCATCACTTTCACTCTCTTCCTCCAATCTTAGGACAAATCGAAACCCACGAACCTGTCTCTACCACACCATCCATGTCTCAACCAATCATCCTTTTCTTCTTCTTCTTCTTCTCTTTCTTCACTCTTTCACTCTCACACAACAACACCACCACAACATTCTTCAACTTCCCCTCCTTCACCCTCCGCAACATCACTCTCCTCGGTGACTCCTTCCTCCGAAACGGTGTCGTTGGCCTCACGCGTGCCACCCCTGTTCCTGCTTCCTCCTCCGGCACCCTCCTCTTCAACACACCACTCCCTCACACCCTCTCTTCCTTCTCCACCACCTTCTCCTTCTCCTTCACCAACACCACCGCTGCCACTTCCTCCACCTTCACCTTCTTCCTCAACTCTTCCCTCTCTCTCCTCTTCATGCCCCACCAAAACCACCTCATTTTTCACTCTAACTCCACCCAAACCACTCTTCCGACACTTCACAACATTGATCTCGCAAGTGGAAGCTTAATCACTTCATGGGTCGATTACAGTTTTGATAAAAAAAAGTTCTTCGTTTTCTTGAACTATTCCACTTCTTCTTCCAAGCCTAAAAATCCAATCTTTACCGTTGACTTTGACCTTTCTGAGTACTTTAAGGAGAATCTCTATGTGGGGTTTTCGGGTTCAACTCAGGGGAGCACTGAGCTTATCCAAGTTATGAGTTGGAGCTTTGAGTTTGAGACATTTCAAAAACCGAGTTCGAATTTGAATTCCCATAATGATTCTTCTAGAAGCCCCGTAAGTGTTGTTGCTGTTGAGGCTTCGAATTCCACCAAGGTTGGGAAGAGGTTTGCAATTGGTGTTGCAATTGCTGGTCCTGCTTTTTTCTTTGTGTTGCTTTTGGTTTTGGTGTATGTTTCTTTTGTGAAATGGCGTGGTGTGAAGAAGCACAAGAGTATGGGGACTAGTTTTGTTGTGGCGTGTCCTAAGGAGTTTGGTTACAAGGAGTTGAAGTTAGCTACTAAAGGGTTTCATGTTTCTAGGGTCATTGGGAATGGATCATTTGGGACAGTGTACAAGGCATTGTTTGAGTCTTCAGGAGCCATTGCCGCGGTGAAAAGGTCAAGACAATATTCGCATGATGAGGGTAAAGCTGAGTTTTTGGCTGAGCTTTCTATTATAGCTGGTTTGAGGCACAAGAATTTGGTTCAGCTTCAAGGCTGGTGTGTTGAGAAGGGTGAGTTGTTGCTTGTGTACGAGTTTATGCCAAATGGGAGTTTGGATAAGATGCTTTACCAAGAATCTGAATGTGGTGGTGGTAATAGTGTGTTGAGTTGGTTTCATAGGTTTAACATTGCTGTTGGGTTGGCTTCTGTTTTGAGTTATTTGCATCAAGAGTGTGAGCAAAGAGTGATTCATAGAGATATTAAGACTGGTAACATATTGCTAGATGTGAACATGAATCCAAGATTGGGTGATTTTGGATTGGCTAAGCTTATGGATCATGATAAGAGTCCTGTTTCTACACTAACTGCTGGAACAATGGGGTACCTTGCTCCTGAGTATCTTCAATGTGGAGTGGCAAATGAAAAAACTGATGTTTTTAGCTATGGAGTGGTTGTGCTTGAAGTGGCTTGTGGTAGAAGGCCAATTGAGAAAGAGGGGCAAAAGATGGTGAATTTGGTTGATTGGGTTTGGGGTTTGCACTCTCAAGGGAAGATCATTGAGGCTGCAGATAAAAGGTTGAATGGTGAGTTTCATGAAGAGGAAATGAGGAAGCTTTTGTTATTGGGATTGAGTTGTGCAAACCCTGACAGTGCACAAAGGCCTTCCATGAGAAGGGTGTTGCAAATTCTCAACAATGAAGCTGTGACTCTTCTGGTGCCTAAAGTGAAACCAACACTAACATTCACTTCGGGCTTGCCTTTGACTCTTGATGAGATAGTTTCTGATGCTGAAGAAGAAGACTTGAATTGTGGCCAGTTTGTCTGTGAGATAAAAATTGATTGAAGCTGCTGAGTTTATTATTCATTTGATTTGATTCTTTAGTTCTTTTTGGACATTGTTTTTAATAACATTTGTATTTCTAGTCTGACAAATAGGGAAAATTCCACTGTTCATTGGTTGGAGTTCAAGCTATTACATTGAACTTCATGGTACCCAAGACTTAGAATGCTTAGTATATACAGAAATCGACTTTGTTTTTGGTCATATATACATATCTTTCTCAAATGTTATTTCTGTAACAATTGTGCTTTCCTCATTGGTCTGCTTGATTTGTTTTTCTATCTTATATCTTAATAAGTATTTATGTTAAATAAATAAAAAAAAGTTTTATGTAATAAGTGATTTTGTAACTTTGAATGATTCATCAACTAGTGTTTACATCCACAATCGAAGTTGTGTAAAATATTAAATAATTCTTATAGAGGATTATGCTGAGGGTCGTATCGACTAGTTAAGTACCCAACTGTTAGGAACATCTGCATTATTTGTATTGGTGACTGGTTCAATCATATGTTAGTTTGCATTATTTGCAGCATTGACTAAAAGCTAGATGCGATTGACTAATTTAACGGCTATATGAGGCAAACTCTGAAACATCATGATTATGACGACAAAAAAGCTAAGAAATAAAAATATATTTTTAGCATATTTCTTTTGGCATGATGTTTTATGATATAAACTTTCATTAAATAACATTTTAACAGGTTCTAATAATGAAATTACTCACAGCACCGAGTGGATGGGACTTACAAAGAAACAATAAATTGAACTCTACTATCATTATTTTATTTTTGTGGGACTTAAAAGGTTTTTGCAAATATTTTATGGTAGTTATCTTAGAGAAATAAATACCCATAAGAAATATAATTTAATAATTATAGATAATGTGAAACAACTGCCATAAAAACCTATCAATTGCTGGGTACAAACTCAACAACACGTTGCATAAAAATTCATCTATATTCATAATGAGGTGGTGAGCATGAGTAATAGATGCCTTCGATTAAAAAAGTATATATATTTGTCATGAACTTTGCATACTTAAATTCAAACCTGCAACACGAGGGACCAAAAATGCATGTGACACTGAAAAGCAAATAACATTTCTCAACACAAAAAAAACTTTGCAACGGTCCTTAGATTAGACAATCCATTGAATTATTCATATGGAGAGTACTGGAAATGGACCCCATGAGCAGGAAGTAGCACATGACCCCTCCACCTTCGTTGTGGAAGATAAGTGTTTTATACACACAGATTACTGTATAAATTTAATATGCCTGTTAATAAAGCATGGAGGTATAAATTTTTATTAAAATATTTATTATTATATTAATGATATTTCAATGTTTTATTAATTTTATTTACGAGAATTTTTTACTTGGGTTATTTAATTTCTTCATATATCTCAATAGATTTGGATCTCCTCATGTTTTAGCCTAAACATAAGGGTGATATTGCTGTATTTTTGTATTTAACGAAAATACACAAAAATACAGTAACATAACTCTCATGTTACGGAAGGGAATCATTTTTCATATCTCAATTACGAGAATGTTTTATTTATACTATGATATTCTTATACTTTTTTTTTTTATGTATAACTCTCTTTTTCAACGGGCATATACACTCCAAATGTATCTCAAAGTCTTTTTCCCTTACAAATTTACCGTTATTAAATATAATTTAACAGTACAACTCCATATAAGGTGAATAAACATGATTTGATCATTACATATATTAATTTTACAATAATAATATTCATATACTCATAATATATTCACCTCTGTTTCCCTGGCATCCTGCATATTGCCAATGCCATAGGAATTCGAAGCATAGAACAGATCATTGCCTGATAGCTTAAAATTATGCATTGACTTTAAGTTTTCATGCATTGCCTGATAGATTTGAGAAGCATAAAACTTTTGATGTTTTGAATTGGCAGAAAAACTACAAAATAAGTTTATTAAGCTTGCCATGATCCCAGAATCAAACCAGTTTCCTCATGAATTCAACTAAATAGTGTGAAGACAATTTGTAACGGCTGAAATCAGAAAAAGAATTTTTTTTAAAAGAAAAAGTTTATAAAGCAGAAAGATTCAATTTAATACTCAATTTCTCAATCCAAAAAACATATAACATATTGTAACAATTTCAATCCATTGCAACGAGAGTCTGTTGTATTAAATTACGGTGGCATTTGCAGTTATGTCACAATCTTTAATATTGCAGAAGATTATACGTAAATGTGGTTGATGCAGCCACAATTGTGGTTGTGAGTTATAATTTAGAGTAATGACTGAGACTTCCTAGTATATAGATTTTGACCCAATATCAATAAAATGAATTCCTAAAATTTAGTACCGTATGTAATATTATATATTATATTTTTATTCTCAGTTACTTTTTTATTTTTTATGTATACACATTCTAGAAATACATAATATTTTTAAAGAAGACACCATTAGATTTCCTTTATTTTTTGTTTTAAATTAATGTCGAAGTACTCTGTCATATGATATAAGCATATTTACATATGCCTTTACAATCTAACGTATAACAAGAAAGACACAGTAGATGAGATTTATCAAGAACCCAAGAAAGAACAATCGGATAAACATTGCCTTCTCCACCTACATTAATTTGATTAATAAATTCTTCCAAATGGGCAGCATTAGAATCTCCAGCAACAAGTTTGAAAGATTCAACGTTGAAAGTTTTGTTTTAATTCTTTTTATCAATTTAATCTTTTCAAAATTAATATATGTATTATTTAATACTTAATATATATACTGCTGGTCCTTTTTATAAAAAATAAAATGGACCAAATATTTATTATTAAAAATAAATGATGTATTTAAAAAATATTAATTGTTAAATTTTTTTATATTTTTCTTTTATTAGTATCATTAACTGTACAAATTATTAGCTATAATATTTAATATTATGAATATTATTAGAATAAAGTTTATATTTATAAAAAAATAAATAACTTAATTTTATTTTTTTTATCCTAGAGAGTTTTTTGTTTTTTATAAAAAGGACAGGAGATAGTATTATTTACATTATTAATGACAGAATATTATACCATTAATTTACCATAAAATAGAATAATATCTAATTATATTTAAAATAAAAATTAATAAATATTATCCTAATAAAATACTTTCTCTATTGAAACATATATAACTTGGAAAATTAAAACGATAAATAGAAATAAAAATTAGATTTTAACATGATATTTTTAAACTTTTAAAAATTAAATTATCTACTACTTATCATTTCAAATATTAAAATGATAGTTTAGTTAACTAAAAAGTGTTAGGATAACCAATCAATTAAAAATTCCATTAAGAATCCAACCCACCTTAGTAACAGCAAATGACTTAACTAGTCTTGCACCCATTACTTCCCAAATTTTCTAATGTCAAGTGGTGTGCCAAGTGCAGTTGTACTGGTTGGAATCAAATTAATGACTTGTAACGAGATACTACACCTAATTTTGACAAACTGAAGAGGTTCATCTAATTAGTTAAAGAATGAAAGAAACATTTCCTTAGAATATGATAATGTTAAAGCTAAATTTAATAAAAGATTAATATCTTGTGATTTGAAAGTCACGAGTTCAAACGTTAAAAATAGCCTCCACGCATGCCAGAATACGGCTACATGCATTTATCCTTCCTAGACCCTATAGCCTCCACGTATGGACTTTTAGATGTAAAAAAAAAAAAAAGAACACCTGAAAGTTTTTAAGAGGTATCAGTGTTGTATTCATGCCATTTGCATCTCAGATTGCTACATCTTCATACAATACCACCCCCAAGGTATAGGTTGCTTTGCAAAAAAAATTATTGTTATAATATTATACTTTCATGCTGACGGTGTACAAAATCATTAGTCAGAAATCACATGTTGGCTTCTACAACACAAGGAGAATCTTCAATCTCAAAAGATGAGACTTGCCCACGGGATGGAGCATTACTCAACTGATCAATTGTGTTTGGCTTAGTATTTTCTACATTCTTCACCGCTGTATTTACATTACCTAGTACCCTTCGACTTTCATGTTCTTTGCTTTCCAATGCTACTTTGTATTCTATTTCTGTCAATTTGGTCTTCCACTTTATTCCAACAGCCTTTGCCTGATCAGCAAACAGACCTTCTGATATGGGTGAAACACATATTTCTTTATAAGTATCATAACTGGCAGCGCATGTATTTCCACCTTCCATAAGTTTTGCCAGTGGATGCAAAACCAAGATTGCATCATCACTTCTCTCTAAGGTGTCCTTCAATAAAAGAAAATCGGAAACTAGTTCAGCCTTGTTAAACTGAACGAACACTGCTGTTGCATCCAAGTGGTAGACAGAAACTACAGAAGTTCGTCCAAATACTTCAGATATGCACTGTCTTATTTCACTTGCCTTTAGCTTGGAAGGAAATCCCCAAATAATAACAATGTTGTCAAAGACAATGTTAGGGTACCGCCTCTTGAGGTTGTAGCTCGGTGAAGAATCAGCAATCTTATTACCAGTATTTAGATCAATAATGTCCCCATGCATCCAACTAAGATAAAGACGATTAACGTACTTCTGTAGTTTCTCATCGAGGGCTAATTGTTTTGAAGATTCATGGAGTTTAAAATCGATACCTAAATCACTGCATAACTGGGCAAAGACGCATCCAGTCATGAAAGCATCGTATCCAGCCTCATGCTTGCCTCCAGGGTTCCAGCTGGATGATCTGCACATATAATGTTGATATGAAGGATAAGTTCATTGAAGCCACAGCTTGGACAACATACAAAATGGAAGGGAACATTACTTTACGAAGGCAAATAGGACACTGAATCTTGAAATTTGGTTGTCCAAAATCTCAAGAAATCACCTCAAGCTATATGCAGATATGTAGACAACAAAAAGCCATACGAGAACTTGTATAATATCCACCATTGAACAATTTTTTCAAATAAAAGAGAAAGGAAAATGCATATACCTGTATAGTTGTATATTTATAAACTTTGCAATTTTGGGGTCAGATAAGAAAAGAGAAACATAAAAAGAAGAGAAAAGAAAAGGAACTGTGTCATGTGTGAAAACTATTGAAAGCAGAGACAAACCTTGAATCATCAACTTCAACGTCAACTTTCACATGTAAGAGTGAACCTGGAGCAATACTACTGGAGCCACAAGCAATTTGTGGACAAAACAAAGCAAATGCAGAGGCCAGTGATTTTCTGGACCTTTTCATTCTTTCTTGGAGCATACAATTGGTGTTAAAGAGTATTTTGGTGTCAACAATGTGTGGAAAGCACTTGTTAACAGAGGCAACAAACTCTTCAGCAGTCCCTGGAAGAGGGCCTATAAATTTGCTGTAGACATGAGCAATATCTGTATCATGGAATTATATATACCATCTTAGTGTCTTATAAAATTAAATGGCGTGTTAAGGATTCAGATTGTTATTGATACCTAGAAAACAATTGTGACCAACTATCAACTTCTGCTCTGATGAAAGGAGATCAATAACATGGCGAAATCCCACTGCAGCTTGGATCTTCATCTCTGCTGCCCTATAGTTTTCCTCTTTCACCTCCTTCTGCAAGAGATTAAATAACACCTTTTTAAAGAATTTAATAGGGTGCTGTGACGTCAACAAAATTCAGTTCACCACTATATTTTAGCGTTTTCATCTTTCAGCACCACCATGCTTGGCCTATACATAAGATACCAAATTATATGCTAATAAAGAGTATACATTTTATATTTTAATTTATCGTGTCCATTTTATAAATATAATTAAGGTTAAGACTTGTTTCTTCAAAATGCTTAGCATCCACTGATTCTAAACTAGAAATTAAGGCTAGTATCAATTCAGATTTTCCCTTTTTAAAAATAATCAAATGATTTCGTCAGATACACTCCACCATCACTTCAAAAGAGAAGAAGGAACAACTTGATTCCAAAAACCATTTGCAATGTATAACCACACATCACCATTTAAAAGGGAAAAACAGTGTCAAGATTTATTACCAGAAGTACATTTAATTCATCCTTCGAGTCTGTGTATACAACTACTTGTTGTGAACCAGAAGCCTCACTGTTCACACTGACATAGGAAAGATCTTTGAAATGCTTTCTGATGACCTGAAAATTTTTAAACTTACAATCAGAAAAACTCGCCACTGCACAAAATATATGTACAATACTACAGCGTGATTGACTCATTAGCCAAAGGATATTGATAGATGAGACAATCAAAATACCAATATGAGAAACAAAATGTGAACATATCAGCTGAGTACAAGATACAACAACATTACCAACTGAATCAATTTAAGCTGGTGAGAGGTGAATCCATTAAGCCTAAGAGCCGGATGCATCTTAAAGAAAATAACTTGAAATTTTGAGTCTTTTGAAATTCCTTGAATTTGATCTTCTTGATTTTGCTCTTGTAATAACCCATCACGCCATTCACTCAATTTGTTTTTCATTCGTTCACTGAACAAAATGTCTGCCATGCTGACCAATGTCATGTCCCTAACATCTTTTAATTTACAAATGTCTGACCACTCACTATCATATGTAGAATTCAAACTCCTTAATGCTTCCCTTTCTTGTTCTCTGGATAAATAAGATATTCCTGACATTATCAAGGTGCAAATTCTCAAACTATAGAAATCATAAAAGTCATGATGAAGTTATACATACCCATTAATGCCTAACCTATGAGTCAGCAACAGAATTCACTGGATTATCAACCAACACCAAAATGCCCCCAGAAATTCAAACTAAGTTTATCGGTTAAAGATTATAGGCTTTCAGCATCTTTAGTGCCTAAAAAGTTTTCTAATTTCTAAAACCCTAAAAGTCATGTATATAGAGCCCTTCCAGTTTGTAAATAACCTTACAAGGAAAGTACACAGAACTCTTTGTGTATTACCTCTTTTATTGAGCCACCCAAACATCTAAGTAACAGAGCCAGAAGTGAAGCATCAATGTCTTAGTTTTTCCATGTATAGGAAGAAATAAAGCATGCAAAGTAATCTCAGTTACTTTATCTAGGACCTTTTATGGTAGATATTACCACACAAACTCCTTTCTTCTATTAATTAGCTACTTGGCTTAATACCAAAGGCAGTGGCAAGAAATAAAAGGGAAGTGAGCAACCTTCATGTATGCATGCATTAAAATCAAACTGGTATTTAGCCAAGAAATCCATTGAAGTTGTCTGGCAGAGAAATTCATTACATGGTCCAAAACCTGCAAGCTCCTGACGCGGAAAAACATAGAAATTATGCCTGCCAAAGAGCAACTTTAGAACTCAGAACAGTGGCAGATCATTCATCAAACAAGAAAGGAAAATAAAGAAAAAGAAGAAGCATAAAATGAAACCATTTCCAGCAGCAATAGTAATTAGAACCAAACTGTCAAGGAAATCTGAAACAAAATGAATACAAAAGAAAACTACACAAGTCCAGGCAAGCTGTATTTGCATGGTCATAATTCCATATCAATTATTCAAAAACAAAAAGAACCTTTTCTATTAGCTGGAAATTGAAATATTATACAATTATACTTAGAAACTTCATTCAAACCAACTTCTGGCTTCTGAATGAATCCAAGTTATGCTATTGGTTTCCATTTTATCCATTCCAATAAAAAACACATCACGAAAGCCTAACATGATAACTACAAACAAAGTTACAAAACCATGCTGCATTATTAAACGGGTAAAAGAACTACAATGCCGTCACTTATCAGTTATCACTCCTATTTCAGTGGCAAACATTTCCACATTTACAATAACCGTTTCAGAACACCATCCATCATTAAAATTTCTTCAAGTACACATTTAATCTTCTATATAATTTAACCTATAAACAACAACAACCACTCCCATCAAAACACACACACACACACACACACACACACACACACACAACACTCCTGAAACTAAACTATCTACCCAATTACCAATTTACCACGCAAGAATCAATTACAAAAATAATATCATAAATTATTCATAATCCACATCGAATCAGATGAAGAACTTACGGATAAGCGACGAAGGAGCCATTGGAGGGATCCCAACGGAAAGGACAAACGCCGAATTGAACGACGGCGAACTTGTTGGCAGAGTCTCTGACCTTGAGGAAGCGAACGTCGGAACGGTCGAACTCGAAGGACTCGCGCCACGGAGCGCTGGTGATGCCCGTCATCTCGAGGTCGATGGCCACGAAGTCCGACGACCGGACATGGCGCCGGAGCTCCGCCAGCGAGGGTTCGAAGTTGGCGGTGGTTACCGTCTTCAAAGGAAACACTGATCCACATTGCGGCGATGCGGTGGTGGCGGCGCCGGAGCTTAGGGCACGTGAGAACGCACGTGAGAGTGTCGAGGAAGGAAGTTTGTGTGGCTTCATGGTTGGTGCTGCATTTTTTCGTCAGTGATTTAGAAGAGGGATAACGAAAATGTGGAAGAAGGCCAAGATCTAAACGGCGTCGTTTTTCTGGAATGTAGAGCATCGTATTAACCTGGGCTGACAATTTGCTGGCCTGGCCCATTTGAATTGGATCCAGTTGGGAAGAACGAAAAATACACATTGACCAAAAACAAATAAAAAAAAGCAAAACCCTAAATAATAAAATCGCTACATATTATATAATGAATACATTCTTAAATTGAGATTGTAAAAATTATGCACAATTTTAAATTTTGATTAATTTTTAATATTATAAAATAATATTTACTTTTTTGAGTTTAGGTTGGATAATATGTAGTTTTTTTAAAATCTTATCTGAGTAAAAAAAAATAATCATATCAAGGTGAAACTAGTAATTTTAATAATTTTTTGATACTCAAAATTTAATTAATAAATTTTGCTTAAATAAAATCAAGCACTCAAACCAACCTTCATTCCTCAAATGACATTCATCTTAATGTTTTTAGCATAAAATAATAATAAATATAAAATAAAATGATTAAAGTGATTTTTATAAACTTTAATAATTTGAAAGGTTAATTTAAGAGTTTATTTATAATTTTTAAATATGCACGCTGGCTGCCAATCCATATTATTCTAATGTATTATTGATATAATAATTAGATTTGCTTAAATTAACAACTTAAAAAGGATATAATTATTATAATAAAAATTATTAATGCTAATTAAGCTTGTTTCTTATGAACACATCACATTCCCTTAAATTAAAATACACTCATAAAAATAAAAGAAGCATAACTTTCTCCTCAGAATAAAATTGCTTCAATAAAAAGTATCTTTGGACGCTCATAAAAAAAAAAGTCACCAACTCAGAACCAAGACGCTCCCTTCCAAGAAAGAAAACGAAAGCATGGTTAAAGCGAACGGCGTCACCGTTTGCCAGCTCACCTTTCCGTTACTTTTCAGAAAACCGTCTTTTGTCCACGTCACAGGTGACGCTAAATGTAACAGCACGTTATTCCGTCCCCACGGAACACGTAACGAAGTTCAACGATTCCCCGTTGTACATTTCACTAAGGCCCATTTTTGGCCCAACTCGAAGTCACAACAAGGTCTTCTACTCTTCATCACCACGCACTTTCTCTCTCTAACGCAAAGGCACCCTTTCTTTCTTTCTCTAACACCTTTTTCTCTCTCAGAATTTTCTCCTTTTTCTGATTCCCTTTATTAATTTGAGTTTTCTCTCTCCCTTTATCTTCCCTGAAAATATTTCTTCCTTCGTATTGATGTCGGTATGTGTTGTTTTTCTCTCTCTATTTTTGTTCCGTTGTTTGGTAATAATTTATGTTTCCGAATTGATTTGATTTTCATTATGATCATTGTTTTGGATTGTTATATGCGATTCTCCAATCTTTGATTTGCTTTTCCATTCTTTGTCGCAATAATTTTGTTTTATTCATCTCGTTTTTTTCTTTTTAAGTTTTCATTTCTGGATTTTCGGACTGCGATCTTTGTTCTTCGATTATTTGAATTTTAGGTTCATGTGTGTGATCAAAATTTCATGTTTTTAATGGGGTAGTTTTGAAATTTGAAGGGAGAACTAGAGAAGATGTGTAAATTTGTGTAAGAGTTTCATTGTGATAGATTATGGTTTTCACTGATTAGCATGCTCTTATTTGGGTTTTGTAATATGTTTTGTTCTTTAGTGGAGATTGTATGTCTTGTGATTCGATCCTGAAATGTTATGTGAAAGAATTGAGTAGTCTTTACGATGTTGCTCCTCTTTAGCATGTGTGGAGTTGTTAAATAAATTATTGAGAGGGGGGGGGGGTTCTTAAATTGGGTGGTTAATAGAGTTTAGTTTAAATGAACAGTTTAACTACAAAATTTCTTTCTTTTCTATTTTTGGATCACCGTGTGCTTTGCTTAATTGGATTGTTAACTATTTTGGGTCATCGTTCTCTTTTCTTGTAACTTCTAAATCGTGAAGTATGTTGTCAGTATCAGAGGTGCTTGTAGATCAGATATTATATAAATTAAAGTTGATTTGCTTTTCATCTTTTATCTTGTGCGGGAAATTACAAAATTATTAGGTGTTCTGTTCTGTTTCAGCCTTCCCTTTTCTGAATAACAACCTCATGATTTGTTGTCTTTTGTCTCTTCTGTTCTATTTTTGAATAATGATACGTGAGCCTTAGTTCTTGTCGCTTAAACAACTCAGTTAGAACTAGCCTTTTTATTAAGAGAATGACAGAATTTGATTAGAAATGTCAAGTAGGGGAGAGTTGAAAATAAGTAATTATTGTAAAGGAAGCAAGAACACTAAAAAACGAAGCTATAAAAGAAAGACAAAACAGCTTGGGAAAGCTAGTCAAATAATTGCATAAATTGTACAATGTCATAGGGACTTACTACTTACCCTGTTTGATCATTACAAAATATTTCAGATGGTATAAATCTCCAAACTGGCAGGACAACTCAAACTTTCCCCATAGATACCTGAGAGTCAAAATCATAGATAGTAAGCCACTGGATAGTACACGAATGTATAACTACTGGTTTTAGTAGGGAAGGTAAAATAATAATAAAGTAACACAAGAATTTTGTGTGGTTAGTGAATAAGCTGCAAATCATATGTATTAGTTATATCAAGAAATTCAGTCCAAACTCTATGAATTCACTTTGATGGGAGTGATGGATTATGGATAGGGTTGGCAATTAGAAACATGCCCCTTTTTTGGAAATTGAATAAGAATTTGGAATAATAACTTGTAAAAATAGATCGCAGAAGAATCCAAAGAAGCATGGCTATTATGATCAGTTCTTTTGTTTTTTAAACTAAAATCTACTTTTTGTTATCAAACTACATCATATTTGTGTGTTGTGTCTGGTCTTCTTTTTCCTATGATTAATGGCATTGTTCACTCAACATTATTATTCAAGACTTGCATTTATCAAATTTTTTTAGCAGTAGAAAATCTATTCCATTTTCAGCTTTCCCAACTTTCCATTTTAATTACTTCTAGAATTTACAATTATCTTGTTCATAATGAACAAGAAGGAATTACCTTTAAAACATTTGTTGTCTTTATTTTGTATTGGCCAATCTGACTATCCCACAGGAAAAGGGTCGGCCACTACCAAAATTTGGTGAATGGGACGTCAATGATCCAGCCTCGGCTGAGGGGTTCACTGTGATTTTTAATAAGGCTAGGGATGAGAAAAAGACAGGTGGCAATCCTGAGTCACCAGGAAAGACTGCTGCTGATCCTCACAGCAAACCTGCATTAGATCCTGGCAAACCTCAGAGTGTAAGATGTTCTTGACTAAATCTCTCTCTCTCTCTAAACTTACACACACAAACATCATAGTTGTTATATACTAATATTTTTGCCTATCTGAAGAGTGAGTTTTAAGGTTGCAAAATGCTTTTTCTTATGTGTGTATGTCTGCATGTGTGCATGTCTATGTTTTCTGCACGAATTGAAACACCATATGATGGCAGTCTGAGTAGCTTAATATGTATGATGAGAAGATATGCTAGACAAAGAATAGGAAGCTTTGACCAACTAAATCCAAGACATGTTGAAAGCATGATTTATGATTTGTAAATTATAACCTCTGCTGAGTTTTCTTCCCCCTCCTCTGTGGTATCAGTCTCAGCCATAACTATATACAATAATTTTACCATGAGTGTCACATCTAGATACAATCTTGCATTTATAAACTAAAATATATGCATTCCTTATAATATTAAATTGTGATCAAGATAAAGTTAAAAGGATTAGAATGCCAAAATCCTAATGAAAAGAGTAAATGGGTGTATCTTCTGTTTGATTTGATTGCACTGATAATTTTGGTCTATGGTTGACTGATGTAGCACTTCATTCATGAACCTTTGAAATGAAGTATGTTTCCAGAACAGATAGCTCAGGGACTATGTTGTTTTCATTTAATTTGGGTAGGATTTAGATTGTCAAATTGAGATGTTTATTATTAAATAGATGTAGAGCAGTCAATTTAATTCGAAGTCTATATATTTTCCATTTTCTCCTTATGAATGATTGTGCTTGGTTTCAGAAAAAATGGTTTTGCTGCATGCAAAACCCATCTGCAGAATCATAGCAATGGCTGCCCATGTGAAAAGGTTGAACAGAAGAACAATGTCTATGTGTAACTAGCTTCACAGTATTTTCTCGAAGATAAGAGCGGTAGAGTCATAAGCAAATTCTACGGAATTTATATTATGTGCTGTAAAAGTGAGCTGCAATGGGGGAAAGCAAAGAAGTCAGACTATTATTTATGTGTGTGTATCAATGTTGTGGTTTATTATTAGGAGCCAGGGTTGCTTCCTGTTTTGCCTTGTCTTGCGCTATGAGCTAGAGCGTTGCTTGTCACATTGTATTACTTGTATTATCAAACAAAACCTATTTTATGAACTCATTTAATTCCTTTGATTTCGTGGCCCGGACAAAGCTTGCAATTTGGTACGTGCCTTGCTATTCATTGCCACTAGCTGCCTGTTCTTTTCCGGTTCGAATTCTTCTTCCAAACTGGAAAAGGACAAAAAATCAAAATGAAGAATGAGAGACAAAACTGGTTTCTTATTTTTGCCACTAAGATGTGCCGTAGCCCATATTCCTGCGTAGCATGCTAATACCGCTTTGCTTGTTAATCGAGCTAAGAAATAGGCTTTGAAGATTGGGGTTTCTTTTCCTGTCCAAAAATAAAAGAAGATTCAGTGATTTTATACGCCTCGAAGGGAATAGTTTTTGCTGTTGGGCTGGGGATACTTTTGGTATTAAAAAAGAAAGACTATTGTTTTGTTAAAATGGTACACAATGGTCTGCTTCAAGTTTCAAATGTGTGTAGAAACAAGGTAGGTGCCTAGGTGTTGTTGGAAATAACGTGACAATTGTTTGTATGCTTTAGCTTGCCTTTGTTCTAATCTGAATAACAAATCAATTCAGCCAAAAGATCAAACTTGCGATTTTTTTCAGGAAATTGGTAACTCTAGATGGAAATTGACAAATACAATTGTATGCTTCCAAATTCTACAGAAATCCTTTTCTTTTTCATTTGTGTGGGTCAAAGTTCTGCAGACTCTCTTTTCAATGAACTGTGCTTACTATTATTTATTTCGTCCCTTTTTCCTGCGAAATTTTAGAGGACTCAGCTAGTTCCTAGTAAGCTCGGAGACAGCAATATTAGCATGATTTCGTGTAGCATCAGTGAGACAGCAATGCATGTCCATGTGCCTAAAAAGAAGCTGCTAAATAATTCTCAACCAGGGTGATTCATATTCATGCAAATTAGCACACTATAAAGGCAAACAAAATTTAGTGGACTAAGCGCATGCAATGCTTCCAAATGTAAAAGCAACAAGTTGCTCTTGGCCAAACCCAACATGCTACAAAAAGTTTGGCTCCAAAAACAACATACAGATCATTACAGTGTGATAATTACTCTCTACTTTAATAACTTTCTTTCAAAGAGGCGGCGAAGAAGATAAACTTGGAGGGCGCTGGCACCAATTAGTGCTGCTGATTCAAGTATGGCCTTGTGAATTGCTCTGGAGCTCATTGCATTATTTACTGTAATTGCAAAAGAAAACTCTTAGTAGATTCTATCATACCATCTTGCTTCATGTCAACAAGTTTATATTTTATATGAAACTAGACACTTTGTAAAGAATATTCATATTCACTTAAGTGAGCATAATAAGGTGAGTCAACACCCATGAGGTCTGAAATTTCATGTTAAAGAAAAAATAACCAGGTCTTGTGAGAAAGTAGAATAGAATGCCATGTAAGGTAATTTACTCAATAAAATCTGCAGAAAAGAAAATGCTAAATTGGTTTAATTTCAGTTAGACCAAGTCCAAGTTACTTTGTTTACGAGGCCTTAATTCTTTGCTTCCATCAATTAACTAGAAAAGCATCAAGACTAGCGTCTTAAACTGAGTCAAGAAGTAAGGTGGCCAAAGAGTCAAAAACTGAAACTTACTTTGAAAGTTTCTAAGACCTATTGGTTAGTATTGTAACATATCAACTTCTGAATACAAATGAATTATGGTTCAACCACACTGAGGTCAAATTGAAACGAAACAAGTCAACTTTTTTTTTATTGAGAAAAAGATTTCTTCTCTATCCTTTTCTCTATTTTAAGAATTTTTTCCTAACATATTTAGCTCAAACATTTATTATTACTATACATACTTTGCCTTTCCTCATCATCCTTTTAAGTCTTATGTCTCAATATTTTTAATTCAATTTAACAAAAGTTCTCCTTAGACATTGAAGTCAAGAAATTGAACCAATAGAACCCTATTGTGACATGTGATGTACCTATTGCCTGGCGTTCTGTCTGAGCCTCAAGCCAATGCTGTTCATACTGAATGTTAAAAAGAGCTTGCTCTAACTTTAATATCTGATCTAAGACAGGATTCAAATGTTCTGCAAAGAATGAAGATATCAACAGTAACTCCCCTGAACACCACAATCTAAACCATATATACTACCTCTGTTCTTAACTTCTTATTTATCTGTCTAGAGACAGAAGAAATTACACAAACCAAGGAATCCAATTATTTTCTTAGAATAAATTGCTAAACTAACTGCTTTACTTTTTATTAATGAATCTCTATTTAACTCTTAGGCTGTTCAAATACTATAAATATTTTAAATAGACAAAAGAACATTAATGAAAGAATAACAAATAGTATTGTCTTAAACTTATATGAAAAAAATTAGCTCACATGTGTGTCTCACCATGTTTTGCATGCTGATCAACGAAAGACACGTGGTTAGAATGAACATCAAAATCAATTGTTTCATGATAGGGAGACCTATTGGTGAAGCAAAAGCGATAGGGACCATTGTTTCGAGCCACAAATTCGAATATTTCACTTGTCTTGTCGTGAAAATGTTGAATTTCATCACCAGAAGGTCCCTTTACCTAAAAAAATTATTGAAACAATAGTTGACTTCTGAAGCATTCTAATGCAACACATAAATATCATTATTTAGTTAAAGGGTTGAAATTTCTATTTTTCATTTTTTTCTCTATTATCCCTGTGTCTTCCCATATATATATATATATATTGTAATTTACAATCTGAAGGTTTTGTTAACTTTAGAACTAAGTTTAAGCACTCAAAACTAAGTTTTTATTGAAAAAATATATTTATTATATTAAAAGTATAAAAGTGTGATAAATAATTTTTTTTTCAATAAAATCTTGCCATCATTAATTGTTTAAACTCAGTTATAAGGACTGATTTTAACAATTTTTCATAGTTTTATACAACAAGGCTAAAATGTCTTTAATTGGCACTGCACAGAAAGATACATTTAAAAACATGTCACTATCCTAGATATTTGTTATAGGAATAAACAAGTTTTGTTATTTTGCATATGATAACTCATTATATTACTTTCTTCAGCACTTTCCGCTGCTAGGACCCTGTTACTTGTGCAAAAAGCCGAAAACATGTAGCAATTGAAATAGTATAAAAGAAAAAGTTTGCAGTGCAAAATTTGAGCTGCAAGTAACTTATCCATGTGCCAGGAAAAGAACTGGAAGGTTAATTAAAACACAAGAGATGTCTCAATCTGTGTTGTTTCAAATCATCTTAAAGCACAAAATGTTTCCGTCTTAGCCCTTCTTTCTAACATTTTTATCACTGTTCAAATCATAAGACCCCACATAGGAAGAGTTAAAAATCAATTTAGAAAAAGCAATATCTCCAAGATTAGAAATGTAATTTCATACAGAAGGCTCCAAAATATATTTCACTACATGTATTACCATAAGATCTACACCATCTTGAGTATATTGCCAAGCTGTGTCAACCTTGATCACAACAAATGAAGCATGGACTCTATCCCCTTCATACTGAACATAGTAAGAGAAACATTCTTCTCCATTAATCACAAATCTAATCCCAAGCACTGCATTAAGGGTGGATAAGATTACCACTACAATGGCAAAATTTGATATCCCCAGCTTCATCTCTATCACTACATTGACACATTAAAAAATAAAGAAATGAGTATGCTATTTTTTTTTCTCTTTATGAGTAATTCTTTGATCTTTCCAATCATATTTGCACCATTTTGCATCATCAATTTCCTCAATTCATTAATCCTTATTGTGCATGATAATGGTCCATCAGATTTTTAAGCTATATGATATAATAAAGCAATCCCTTTTTCACAACTTTCACCTTAATCATGATCTTTTGAAATGATGATTACGTAAAACAAAATATATTCCCTTTCATATTCTCTTCAATGGATAGCAAATATCATGCAAATGATAAGCAATATGCGTGTTACAAAAAGATGAATTCCAAATTAAGAATTTAAACATTCAATGGATGGATCTCATAAGAACGAATCAAAATGATTATAAACATACATGCAAGAATCAAATTGAAGAATGTTACCGTTTTCATCAAAGATTTTACTTTAAAACGGATTTGAAAACGAAAATGGAGTAAGCATTCTACGAGGAAAAATGAAAAGAGAAACGCAACATGGGTTGTTCTGTAGAACACTTCGTTAAGTTTGAGGCCTACGTTGTTAATGAAGAGATGTGATCCACTGCTACTCGAGTTTAGAACAAAACATGTGTTGGACCAATATGTGGTGGTTTGAATAAGAGTAGTTTAATAAAATATAAAAGTTTAATTATTATCTATGTTATTTTTATAGATAAAGATGCTTATAAAAATAAGAAAAAATTAGAGTTAAAATAAAATAATTGTAATGATATTTTAAAAAATAAAAAATATTAGTATAATATTTGATAAATATAGTAATTAAAATATAATTAATATGATTAATAATTGCATGATAAATTTATTATGAAAAAATATTAAAATATAAATTACAAAATTACTCTCGACTTTAGAAAAAAAAATGTTTCTAGACTTTAAGTATGATCTCTTAGTGTCATGACTTTTTCCCTATTCTACTTAGTATGGTCTTTTTTATACGTACATGGGTTAAATTTAAATATAGCTAGTGTTTAAGTTTAACATTGAATCCTAAATCTCTCTCTCTCTCTCTCTCTATATATATATATATATATATATATATATATATTAATGAAATTAAAAAATTAAAATTGTTGGTTGAGAAAAAATGTCCTAGATTAGAATCTAAATGGATCCGCAAAAAAATATAAATATTGTGATTAAATTGAAAACATGATTTTCAGAAATAAATTTGTAGTCTATAAATGGACTAAACGAATAAAAATATATATAATATAAACACTTACAAAATAACTAAAAGAATCGTATTAAAATTATTAAATACGTGAATTAACTAACATAAATAATTTTAATTTTAAATTATAAATATATTATTACTTTGTAAATCACTTACAACTATTATTAATGGATATATTTTTGTTTTTGGTAATTATTGATGGATGGATGCCATATCTTATTTTTCAACTTGTAATAATTATATTTTGATAGTTATATTAGTTCTAGAACAAAAAAATATTGTGAAAATGCTAGTAACATATTATTTATTATAATTATTTTAATATATTTCTAATTATTAATTAAAATTTATTAAAAAGTATGTAAATTATGTAAATCTCATTCTTTTTCATTCATACATTAACGTTTTTCTCTTAATTTTTTTGTAATTTAAAAAAATTAATAAATAATTAGAAATATGTTAAAAAGAATGTGTTAAATAATGTATTATTAGCATTTCTTAAAATTATTTATGTGAAAGATATGTGTGTAGTTACTAAAAATGGTCTCTAGCAAGATTTGTCTATAATTAAAATCTCTTAATGTAAAGGATGAACCCCTCGAATCTCATCAAATCCATGTGTTTTTCTTACACACGTAATGATTTTTTGATTATTTAAAAATAACATGTCTTAAAGACTTTTTTGAAAGTTAAAAGAGAAAAAAAAGATTATAAAATAAAATAAAAAAGTAACAATAGTTAATAAAAATCTTTTAAATGGAAAGAACTTAAGAATATGAACTTAAAAAAGTTTTTAATAGTTTATAAAATCTTCTTTCCTTGTATAAAAACTTTTAAATAAGAATTATTATCAACTAAGTAACTTTTTTTTTCTCTTCAAAAATTAAATCATAAACAAAGTTTAAATATCTTTTTATATACTGATCTATATTTTATGTTATATAAATACCAAGAAGACAAAAAAAATAAAATAATTATATACTTCATCAATCTCTTTTGTGAATACCATTTTTTTTATCTCCCAGGATTACCTCAAAAAATTTAAAAAAAAAATTTTAAAAATAAAATAAAATTATTTTACAGAAAAATGGAAATTTTTGGAAAAAAACAAGTTTGGCTCACGAAAACAGAAATCTGCAGTATGCAGGCTCATATCCAGCATCAAAAACTGATTTAAGCATAAAAAAGGAAAAAACTCAGATTTTTGGCATTTTGTAAAAACCCTAAATGAACCCAATATAAAATCTCAAGAAAGAGATGCGGGGAGGGGGATTTTTTTCGGAGGAAGAAAGCAAAAAAATTTTCAGAGAGAGAGAGTAAAAAATTTTAAGAGAGGGAACAACAAACTCTTGAAAATAATCCAAGAAGAAGAAAGGGATAAAAGAAGAGACCAACCATTAACCTCATTCTCTTCATTTTGGTTTAGATCGGAAACGTTTGCTAACTATATTTAAGGTATTTTTCTCCTTCATTTCTCCTTTCTTTTTGCTTTGCATACGAAAGTTATCTTACTCTAGTCGAAACTCTGGTAGACTCTTATAAAAATGAACTTAGGAATAGGAACTAAATGATACAAACATAAAGCTATTCATCCCGAACCGCTTCATAACGTTTCATATCCCATAGTTATCTTTTATATATATTATAATTAAAATAAAGTTGAAAGGACCTCTCGACGCATTGAATGTCGAGAGAAATGAGTGCTTGTACCACTGTACTATTCAAAATTGAATTCCAATGCAATATCCGGCGTTTTTTTTTTTTTATTCATCATTATATTATGTTAAATATGTTATTGCTTTTTATTTATTTGGGTTTTGGGCTCGATAGCTCACACTTTAAAAAAAAAAAAATCATTTTAAGCTTTTTTTTTAGCTTATTTTTTATATACATATATATATTTTTGTTTTGATTATTATTTTTGTTTTAACTTATTTCAGTAAAATTAGTCTATTATCTTTTTTTTATATATATACCTTTAAATTCAATTTACTTTATTTTACGTTACTTTTATAATATTAGCATTTATTTTAATATTTTATTTGATTTCTATTTCCACTTGTAAAAGGTGTTTCTCTTCATAAAAAAATTAAATAAAAAATAAATACAGCAAATTACTTTTTATAATTCTTGGATTTTTTTAATATCTATTTCATTATTTATTCATTATTATTGTACCATTATTCTTCTTTGTTATTTTGTGTAGATTTAGAATGTAATTTGAAATACATGTCTTGTTTCTATTTGTTTTGATGAATAACTTATGTTTCTTATTTTTATCTTTTTGTTGTATAATCAATAATTTAAATAATAATATAATTGCATCAATTTATAATACTAACATATAGCTTCTCTATCGTCATGTATTATAAATTGATAAAGTCTATGTGTGCCTACGTTACCAAGACTTTATGCAATATTAATTTATCATGTATTATCTTAAATTAATTAGTTAACCACTTTAATAATAAATCAAAGTATATTTTCCTTCTAATTACTAACTTACTTACGAATCAATCAACTAATTTAAATCTAAATTGTTTTATTAATAAAATAATTTATAATGCTAATGTGTAGCGACTCTACCTTCATGCACCGTAAATTGTTAGAACCTACGTGTACCAACGTTACCTTAGATTTTATATAACATAAATTTATCAAACAAAGTTTTAATTTTTATTATTATTATTAAATATTTTTTTAATCAATTGAAATTTATTTATTCATTTCATTAAATGAAATTAATTTCATATTTTAAAATTCCTTGAATCATATTTCTAATTTTAACAAATTAAATAATAAATCATTTCCCCATTTTTATTATATGATATAATCTTTTATAACATCGATGTGTGATTTACATTGCTTTCGATTATCCAAAAATTATAAGAAATTAACGTATAGCTTACGCTATCTTTAATTCTCTTTCAGCATTGATCATAATCAAAATTCAAATTCAAATACTTAATTTACGAATATAGATATTTTAACGATTTGCAATATAGTTGTGTGATCTTCCTTCACTTTCTGTATTGTTTTCTCGTAGGGTACATGTATAACTGCATTATCTTGTATCCTAAACATTATAAATTTACGAAAATGATTTTAATTTTAAAATAAATTTTTCTTTTAATAAACTTAATTATAATCAACTAATTTCATAATTTTTAGATAGAACTACGTGACTTTGAGTTCCCCATTGCACCTGGGGATACGTAGGAGCGGGAACCGAATCCGTCAAGTCAAAATAATTTTTAAAATAACCCAAATAATATTTCAATAAATAATATTTCTTCTTCTAAAATAAAATAATTAATGTTTAGGGGTTAAATAAATATTTTTCAAAATTAGAATGAATTTGCACAATTAATTTTAGGTAACCGTTTTTTAAACGGACGTTGTAGGGTGCTAATACCTTCCCTACACGTAAATGACTCCCGAACTCATTCTTGGTTTCAAAGATCGTATTATATTTAAGTTTTTCCAAGGTTTTTCTTAAAATAAACTTTGGTGGCGACTCCTCTGATACGTTTTTTAAAAAAAACGTTTTTCGCCTTACCGTTGCGACCGCCCGGTTGCGACAGATGGCGACTCCACTGGGGACATCTTTTAGAGAGTCAAGCCTTTGATAATTGATTGTGCGAATTTGTTTTATTTTGTTTCTATTTGTTTAATCCTTTTTATTTATTTATTTATTTGAGTTAATTGTAATGTTTCTTTTATTCGTGCAAATATTTCGTGTATGAATTGCGTAATCTCATTGTATGCTCATATTGATATTGTTATTAATCCTAGGGTAGATGACTATTGATAATTTTGTATATTGTTGTTTAATTTTTGCAGCTTTTTATTTTTGTTGAGTTGATAAGGTTTGTATGCTCCCTTACACACTACCACTTACACATTTATCACACACTTTGAGTGGGGCCTTATACCCAGGTCTGAGTATACCTAGGATTAGAGGGGTTATGTAGCGGTGTCATTTTGGATGCACGTCCTATTTGGCTATCGTGAAAACCCTAGCTAGAATTTGACCTTTTCTTGATGTCCCGCATCTAGTAGACTCCCTACTGTTGTGGTCAACATCAAGGATTGGATCTTAGCTCTAGTGACCTTTTAGGATTACAAGCCACCTTTTGTGAGTTTTTACACGTAAAAGAAAGTTGTAGATATTTAAGTTAGACCCTTTAGGCGACTTGAAATAGGACACAAAAGGGGGTATTCTTTCCTTATTTACTCTTTTAGAAATCATGTGAATTATTAGTGTCTTAAAGTTTTAAATAAAAAAGAAGAGAAGAATTTTTTTTATTTTTTTATTTAATTTTTAATTTTTTTCTTCTTTCTTTTTTACTATATTTTGGAATGATATAAGGACTAGTGATTCACATGATTCTTTCAATTAATTTTTCTTACATCATCATCATTTCATATATCATTGCATATCATTTGTTTGAATATCATGCTTATTGCCATCCTTTTGACACTTGTAATAAATTTAAAATCAGTTTTGAAATAAGGTTAAGGATGACAATTTGCATAATTTCTTACACCATTGCATTGTTAGATGAAGCATTACCCTTTTAAGTATCAATTTAGATTTATCAAAAATAAAATTCAAAAGATCTTAAAAAGGGTGATGATTCATATTGTCCTCGCATTATCATGGTCATCACATATTTGTCTCATTAATGTAAAAGCCGAGTGGATTATCGATTCCTTTAGAATTAATGTTGATTCTTATATGGATGTTTATCTGTTTAGAATCAATATTGATCCTTATGGCTACTAGGATTCTATGTTAATGAAACAAATACAAGATTTGAAATAATTTCTCATTATTTTCTTTTTATTTATAGGTTGAGAATCACAAAGTTGTTTGAGTATTCGAGGAAATGGAAATTAATGTGGGATCAAGTAGCAGTGAGATGAGATCAGTAGAGTTGAGAAGAAAATTGCATCTAAAAGTTAAAAAGGTTGACACTACTAGTTTGAGAGAATTAGGGAAGAAGCTGAAGACGGTCTAACAACTCACTTTAGTGAGGAGGTATGGAAATATTTTGAGATTGATGAAAGTGAATGTGCAAGAAGATGCCATAACAGCTCTAGCCCAGTATTATGATTCCCCGTTGAGGTGCTTCACTTTTCAAGATTTTCAGTTGGCTCCGACCTTAGAGGAATTTGAGCAAATTCTAGACTTGCCTTTGGAGGGTCAACAGCCATATCGCCCTATGAAACATCATGCATCTCTGCCGACTATCGCCAATGTCTTAAGGATTTATCCAGCCGAGTTACAGCAAGCTTACCAAGAAAAACATCAAAATAGAGGATTCACAAGAGAATTTCTTGAGCGACAAATGCATAATTTGGCAGAAAAAGAAGATTGGGAGACTTTCATAGATGTCCTAGCACTCACCGTTTATGGCATTGTCCTTTTCCCTAAGCATGACAACTTTGTGGATTTAGCAGCAATAGATGTGTTTCTTGCATGCAAAAATCGATCTGAAAATCCTGTCCCTGCACTACTAGCTAATGTTTATTGTACACTGAGTTTCTGCCATGAAAGGAAAGGAAAGAGGATTATATGTTGTCTACCTATGCTTTATATATGGCTCACAGCTCATGTCTTTAAAAGGCCAAGTGAGATCAAGTGTCCGATCACTGATTTGCTGAGGTTTCAAATTGGGCAGAAAAATGGTCAAGAGTGGGCTAATCACTTAGCCAGTTTGAATGAAGGACACGTCAGGTGGCACACTCCATGGCAACAATCAATGACTATTGTTTATCATTGTGGCAATTACCCAAATGTTCCTCTTATGGGTACTCGGGGTTGTATAAATTACAATCCAATTATGGGACAACGTCAGCTCGCTTATCCCATGATGGGACCACCTGCTGAGGAATTGTTGATTCCTTTTGTTGTCTATTATGAAGATGGAAATTTCACTGAGCTTATCCAAAAGGCAAGGAATGCTTGGGCAAGGGTTGTTCGAAAAGGAAAAGAGTTAGGCGTGAGAAGTTGTGCAGCGAAAGCAAGTTACCGTCAATGGGTTAAAGAAAGAGTCCAAGAGATTAAGTTACCATTCAAAGATCCAGGTACCTCCCAAGAAAGTGAGCCATCTAATCCAGAACCCTTTGAGAATGAACAAGTAAAAGAATTAAAGGTAAGACTGGCTAAGATGATTGAAAAGAATGTGAGGGTAGAAAGGGAGCTTCGAGAGAGCCGTCAAACTTGCGCCATTTTGAAGAGAGAAAACAGTGAAAAACAACAAGCCTATGAAGAGGTTTGTAAGAAGCAGAAGTCTGTGCAAAGCCATACAACTAAAGTTCAACGTTGCCTTGAAGCTGCAAACAAGGAATTAGGATTGAGGGTGAAGGAGCGAAATGCAGCTTTATATGAGAAACGACAATTGAAAGGTGAATTGTACAAGGCAAAAAGAGATCGAGAAGAAGCTTTGACTCAAGCCAGTGAACTCCAAACACGAGTGAAAAATATGGAAGAGCAGATAAAGGAAATTGTCATGGCATGCGAGGCTGAAATTAATGCTGAAAAGTGGGAAGTGATCAGAATCATGAAAGAGTATGAAGCTATTGTGAAAGTGAAAGATGGTCAGATAGAAGAAGGAGATAAGCTTATTGAGTATTGGATCAAGCGCTTCATACAACTTGCATATTAGCTAATGCCGCGATTGATGACATCTCGTATATGTTGTCAAAGGCTGAGACAGCTACTTTTTTCTACAGGATACCTCAAGAAATTAAAGATTTCCTTAGCCATTGCAACTGGTTGGTCTCAGAGATGAAAGGAATGATAGCTAGGGCTAGGAATGGGGTATGGGTAAAAAAAAAAAATGTATTTTGAATCAAGTTCTGATGTACTTTGATGTTTTAATTTGATTATGGATTATATTTTGGTGTGTTTCATTTAACGAGGATCCTACATTAATTTCCATTAAAGACTTGAAGACGCTCAACAACTGTGATGATTCTTTAGTCTTTGGTTGTTATTTTTTTAAGTGCAATTTTCATTTTGATTAATTCTTTTTTGACTACAAATTATTTCAGAAAATTAAACAAATATAACGGGGAAACGTTTTCTAAAGCATCCTTATAGAACTCGCGCTCAAGCAAGGATCATGGATGAGTTAGAGGAGCACAATGAAGAGCTAAGAAACGATGTTAATCAGTTGAAAGAACAAATGGCACAAATTCTAGAGGCACTGAAGTCTTTAGAGCGAAGAACCACAGAGGGGACCCCTATTCAAGCACCTCCAGCACAACCCACTCCTACCTATCCACCAGGTTTTACCCCTACACAAGGACCGTCCCAAAATTTTCCTCCTCATGAAACAATGGTGCCTTTGACCTTGCATGTAGAAAGGCCTCCACAACAAGCTTTCAATCAACAAGATGTCCAATTTCCCCCATATGGCCTTCCTCAAGGTTATACACCACCGATAGCTGAGAACCCACCAAACACTGGCCAACCATCAAATCAACCCAATCCTGCACAACCTTCAGGTCCACAAATCCAACCAACCCAAACATCCATCCCATCATATGCTTACCCTCAAAATACTCATCCTCAAGAAACTCATATACCCCACATTATACCTACCCCAAATCAACCGATCCATCACCAACCACAAATCACTAATCCTAGCCTTGACGGAAACCCAGCCATATCACCATTCCATTCCTATAAGACCTTAGAAGAACCCCAACCCAATTACTCAGAGGAGCACTTCCAATCTAGAGAAAAATTGCAAATATTGGAAGAAAGATTGAGAGCTATTGAGGGGAGTAGCTATGGCATTGGAGAAGCCGCGGATCTTTGCTTGGTTCCAGATGTAATAGTTCCTCCAAAATTCAAAGTGCCTGATTTTGATAAGTACAAAGGAACGACATGCCCAAAGAGTCATCTGATCATGTACTGTAGGAAGATGGCATCACATGCCCATGATGATAAGCTACTAATTCACTTTTTTCAAGACAGTTTGATTGGAGGAGCTTTGAGTTGGTATATGCATCTTGAGCGTACTCGTATTCGTGGTTGGAAAGACTTGGCTGATGCTTTCCTAAAGCAATATAAGTACAACATTGATATGGTTCCTAATAGATTACAACTGCAGAATATGTTAAAGAAGAAGGATGAGACTTTTAAAGAATACGCCCAGAGATGGAGAGAAGTTGCAGCTCAAGTGGAGCCCCCTTTGTCTGAAAAAGAAATGGTAGCTATGTTTATTGATACTCTCCAATCACCTTTCTATGATAGGATGATCGGAAGTATTTCGTCAAACTTCTCTGATGTTGTGATTATTGGAGAAAGAGTGGAAGGAGGAATGAGGAATGGTAAGATATTTCACAATTTGGGCGGACCCTCCAATTTGAAGAAATTTACAAATGGTCCAAGAAGAAAGAAGGGGGGAGAGAGTAATGCTATAGCCTTTCACCCAAGAGAAGTTCCTTTCATCAGACCTAACCCTGCACCTTTTCAATTCCAACCCACATTTCCTGCTCCTCAAATGTCTTACCTATATGTCAATGCTGTTTTACAGAATCCAAGTCCCCAATCTTATCAGCCGCGACCCTACCAACCTGCTCTGCCTACTTTTCTTATAACACCACCCATGAGACCACCCCAGCATTGGAACCAAAACCCAAATCCCAACCAAATAAGACCCCAAAATAATCAAGAAAGGAAACAAGTTCAATTCGACCCAATCCCCATGTCCTACACTGAGTTACTACCTTGCCTATTCCAAAGTTCATTAGTTGTACCCTGTCCAATGAAACCTATAGAACCACCATATCCAAGAGGATATGACCCAAATGCTAAGTGCGAGTATCATGCTGGTGGCATTGGTCATTCGACAGAGAATTGTAGGGCATTAAAGTTCAAAGTGCAAGACTTAATTAATGCTAAATGGCTAAATTTTAAGGAGGATAATCCTAACATTAGGAGTAACCCCCTACCTGGGCATAGAGGATCGTCAGTAAATGCCATCGAGGAAGAACCAGCACATGTTTTAAAGAGGAAAGTTGAAGAGGTTACCACTCCTCTTAAGGTTATTTTTATGAGCTATGCAAGGTTGACTTGATCAGGGGTTTTGTACATGAAGAAAATATGTGTGACTTGCACCCTAATGCATACCACTCCATTGAAGATTGTGAAGAATTCAAGCATGTTCTGCAAACCCTGATGGACAAGCATTTGGTCCAAATCGGGCACCCTAAGGAGAAAAATGAAGTTTCGACTGTTGATAGACAATCCTCCACTTTCCCGAAACCCTTGGTCATTCATTACACCAAATGTATGAATACCCCAACTACCAATGGACCTAGACCCATCACTATACAAGTATCGGCTCCATTCCTTTACAAGGACAATAAAGCAGTACCATGGAAGTATGATGCAGGGGTTTATGTCGACAATTTTAAGGAAAATCAAACACAAGGTGTCAATTCTGATACTCTCGCCGTCTCACACATTGCTGGCGTTGGTGGAATGACCCGCAGCGGTCGTATTTACACACCTGAGGAGCTGAGAAAAGAGCGAACAAAAGAGATAGAGATATCCTCAAAGGGGAAAGCCAAAGTGGGCGAGTTTGAAAACGCTGACAAAGAGAAAATGCCTGAAATAAAGAAAGCAGTGTCAGATGAAGAAGCTTGTGAGTTTTTGAAATTTATTCGACAAAGTGAATATCAAGTTGTGGAACAATTAAACAGAACTCCAGCACGAATATCTCTTTTATCATTGTTGTTGAACTCTGAGCCACATAGGAGGACTCTTTTAAAAGTGTTGAATGAGGCTCATGTCAACCATGATATCACTACCGACAAGTTTAGAGGTATTGTTGGTAATATTGTTTCAAACAATTATCTGACCTTCGCTGATGATGAAGTACCTGCCGAAGGAATGGGGCACAATAAAGCACTGCATATTTCTGTGAAATGTCGAGATCACATTATTGCTAGAGTGCTTATTGACAATGGGTCTTCTCTGAATGTGATGCCAAAAGCAACATTGTCAAAATTACCTTATGATGGGTCGCATATGAAACCTAGTGCCATGATAGTAAGAGCTTTTGATGGAACAAGGAGAGAGGTCATTGGAGAAATTGAAATTCCAATTCAAATTGGTCCTTGCACCTTTCATGTTTTGTTTCAAGTAATGGACATCGCACCAGGTTACAGCTGTCTTTTGGGGAGGCCTTGGATTCATTCTGCTGGAGTTGTACCATCCACATTGCATCAGAAACTGAAGTTTATCATTGATAATAAGTTGGTGATTATCTCTGGTGAAGAAGATATGTTAGTGAGCAAACCTTCATCCACGCCTTATATTGAAGCCGCTGAAGAAGCTCTAGAGACTTCTTTTCAGGCTTTAGAGATTGCAAATGCTACTTATGTTGGAGAGGGAGCTCCAATCTTAAAGCCTCGATTGTCTAATACATCCATAATGACTGCTAAAGTCATGCTTGACGGAGGTTGTCAGTATGGATACGTGTTAGGACAAACCATCACGAAAGCAGCAAATTGGTTGCAGCTCCATGAGAATAAGGATAGATTTGGGTTGGGATACACACCCACTAAAGCTGATAAGAGGAGAGTCATGGAAGAAAAGAAAGAAAGAAGATTAGCCAGGTTAGAAGGTAGGGAGCCTAAGACTGAAGGGGTCCCCATTTGTGATCTTCTGAAGAGCTTCTATAGTGCTGGATTTGAGTTTCAAGACTCAGTGGCTACTGCTGATGTGGATACACCTGAAGAAGAGGTTGTGGACCTAGTTCATACTTGTCCGCCAAACACAGAAGTTGGCAATTAGGAGATCATCGAGTTACCTGTGATTTTTAATAGCTATTCAAAGTAATTCTTGAAGTTAATCCTATTGTTTTGTTCTAAAGCTTTAGGATATCATTACTTTTTGAAAACGCTGATATATGATTTCTTTTTGTAATTTGAAATATCAGTTTGTTTTGTAAATTGGGACACATGTTTCCTTTTAAGTATATTTAAATGAAATGCAATTTGAATTCTCAGTAATCTTTCGTGTCTTTTTCTTTATCAGTTGAATCTTGTCGTTTATTTTCTTTTTGTCTCAACTCTCGCACAATGCAGATTTGAAAGTGACATGTCTGAAAGTAACAATGCTAATATCTCATCCACTAATTTTGATTGTCCCATTAATCAAGCTGTCGAAGATGATAGTGATGTTGATTTACCCTCAAATTTTTAAGATTGGTCGATCAAGAGGTGAAAGAGATCCAACCTTATGATGAACCCACTGAGACAATTAATTTAGGGACTGAAGATGATAAGAGAGAAATCAAAATAGGCACCCTCATGAAAAAACAAGAGCGCGACAAGTTGATTAAACTCTTGCATGATTATAATGATGTCTTTGCATGGTCTTATCAAGATATGCCAGGTCTAGATGTTGACATAGTCGAGCATAAATTGCCACTAAAACCAGAGTGTTTCCCAGTTAAGCAGAAATTAAGGAGAATGAAGCCTGAGATGTCATTGAAGATTAGAGAGGAGGTTAAGAAGCAATTTGATGCAGGTTTTCTTGTTGTTGCTAAATACCCTCAATGGGTTGCTAACATTGTGCCAGTTCCCAAGAAAGATGGAAAGGTTCGGATGTGTGTTGACTATCGGGATCTAAATAGAGCCAGCC